ACAGAGCTCGGCCAGCGCGTCCTTGCCCTCGGCCGCGACGAGCCGCCGGCGCTGCTCGGCCAGGGGGGCCGGGCGGCGCAGCGGCTCGGCGAGCCAGTCGTAGTGGCGCTGCTCCGCGACGCGCGCGCGGCGGTTGTCCTCGCGCAGGTACCGCACCGCGGCCTGCAGGCCGGCGATCTCGTCGCCCAGCGCGTCCATCTCGCGCGCCGTGGCCACGGCGCGCTCCTGCCCGGCCTTGGAGCCCGCCGCGCCGCCCGGTCCGCCGTCGCTCGAGCCGGCGAGGATCCGCGAGTCGCCGGCGATCTTCTTCCACTTGTCGCGGTCGGCCTCGAGGGACTTGAGCTCGCGGTCCTGCTTCTCGATGTCCTCTTTGAGGCCCGCGACCGAGGCCTTCTCGCGCTCGATGAAGGCCTCGAGGTCGGCGATGCGCGAGACCTTGGCGTTGGCGTCGCGCATCCGGGACTCGAGCGTCTCGATCTTGAGCTGAGCGGTGCCCAGGGTCTCGTCGCGGAGGGCGATAGCCCGGCGTGCCTCGTTGTACTCCTCCTTGAGGTGGCGGAGCTCCTCCTCGGCATCGACAGGGATGGTCTTGAGGGCCTTGAGCTCCTGGCTGCGGAGGATCCAGGGTGCTTGTGGTCGCTCAAACTCTTGGGTCTGGGTCAGATCGGTGGACAGGGCAGCCAGGTCGGCGATTTGGCTAGTTACAGCTCTCAGTTTGGAGAGATAAGTAGCAAACAAGTCAGACTCGGAGTTGCCGACTGCGTTCATGGCCGTCTTCTGCGCCGACGTCTGGATCTCGGTGTATGTGTAAGGCTCAGTTCGTCCCTCTTCGTGAAGCAGTTGGTGTAGGTCGAGACCGATCTTGCGTGCCAGGTCAGCAATTTCCTGAGTCGCATCTTCAGCCTGCTCAAAGGCTTCGAGAGTGTCAGGGGTGAGGGACAGGGAACGCAGTTTGAGGTCCTCCAGAGCCCTGACCATTTTGCCGGCAATAACCTTTGTGCTGCGAGTTTGCGTGATAACAGCCTCGGATTTCCTGGCAAAGTACTGAGCGAGCTCGTCGTCGTCACCAGCAGGAGGCACGACCCGCTGTACCATGGCTCTTGTAGCATGGAAAGTGGTAGCGGCAGACTCGAGATGGCTTTGCATAAGCAAGCACCTCATGTGCACGTCATCTGCGAAGCTCTCCAGATCGTTGGAGATGTGCACTTCACCGAGGTGGGACATGAGGGCAACAGAACGCTGCAGCTCGCTAGCACACTGTTGCTCCTTGAGCTCGTCTCGTCTCAGGCCATCGATCCATCCATTGAGGGCACGCTCAACTGGCTCTAGCTCGTACAGAGCCCCCTCATATTTGGCAAATTGTTCAATGGAGCAGTGACTAATAGCATTGACGAAGCGGTCGCACATCGCCGACACCCACGTGAGCTTGTCAATGGCATCACAGCCGGCAAACGTGTCGTCCTCGTGTCCGGGGTGCGGCTGGCCGTTGACCCGCTCCTTGATGAAGCTGTTGAGCAGATTGGCCTTGAATGCCAGGCGTCTGAACCGCAGGAGAGCCAGGACAGAGTCTCGGTCGGTCTGGTATGTCTCGGGCAAGAACAGCTTGACGATCTCCAGATGCTGCTCGGCTTCTTGGGCCTCCAAGCGCCGAAGCTCCAGGTCGATAGTCTTAGCCTGCGCCTTGGCCGCTGAGATCTGGAGCTTCATATTCAGATCCATCATGGCGCGAGACTTGCTGTTGAGCTGCTCAGACTCGGACTCGGTCACAGCATGCGATGCGCGCATGTCCTCCAGGTCGGTCTGGAGGTTGGTCACGAGCTCGCGGAATCGCGAAAGGGTGTATTCCATGTCATCAATAGTCTCCTCTTGCTGCACAGCCCGGCGGGCCTGCTCCGTGATGACAGCCTCCTTGAAGTCAATCTCCTCCTGCAGTTCCTTCTCATTCTGAACATGGTTAATCTCGAGCTCGTCGTTGATCTCCTTGAGGCTCTCTAGGTCTTCAACCACGGCCTTCAACTCCTCGATCTGCTCGGCCATGCTCATGTTGCGCTCCGTCAGATCCTCGATCATGTCCTCGGCGCCCAAGGCGGTGTCCAGCTGCTGGCGGAGATCTTCCACTGCAGCCTCGGATTGGCTCAGCTTGTCTTTGCAGCTCTCGAACTGCTCCTTGACCAAGGAAAACTCCCGCAGGTCTTCCTCGAGGCCCTTGATTTGATCCTTCAGCTCCTCCTCTTGTTGCTGGGTAATGTCACGGAGGCGCAACAGTGCCTCGCGGAGGCGTTCATTATTTCTCTCCATTTGCAACCATCCGGTGCTGGCACGCTCTTCAGGAGACATGCCCTTAGAGTATTCCGAATTCTCCTCGCGCAGAATCTCGACTTCTAGCTCGAGCTCTTCAGCCTTCTCCTTCAGTGCCTCAAGTTCGACTTTGTAGACCTCGGCCTGTTCCTCAGCCATCTCCCTGTCGAGCGTAGCAAGCTCCATGGCGGTGTCATGCTCGGCCTGGATAGACTCTACTGACTCGAGCCGGCTCTCTGCCTCCTTGAGCTGTTTCCTGAGTTCGGCGTTCTCTTGCTGCTGCGGCTGCAGTTTGGTCTGGATCTTTTGGATGATAGTCTCGAACTTGTCACGTTCTGCCTGGACCTTGTCCAACTGCTTGATCTTGTCTCGGTCTTCGAGCCTCTTTCTCTCTAGCACCTTGAGTTTGGTCTTGAGGTCTTCGATCTCACGATGAGCTGCATTGTTGGTGGCAGTGGATGGCGACGATCGTGAAGTGGCGGCTGCAGCGGCGACTCTGGCTCGGGGAGAATCGCGTGGGGAGGCAGAGGTCAGCTTCTCCAGGGCCGCAGTCCTTGTGCGGACCGGGCTCCTTGACGAAGGCGACAGGTCATCCTCGTCGCTCTTCTGTGGAGAGGTAATCCGGCCGCGACTGGTCCTCTCCGAGCCGGACTGAGAGTCCCCGGAGATATTGCGGCTGCCGGGCGGGCGAACTCCAAGGCGGGGCCCTGCTGCCGTGGACAGCCGACCGCTCAGCGTCCGTGCAGGGGCCGTAGTTGCTGTCCTCGACGTTGCCGAGGAGACTGAAGATTGGCGAGTAGTCCTCGCACCCGGCGGCGGGGGAGGTCCCATAGACGTCCTTGTAGCTCCTCCGACAGGCGGGCGGGTCTTAGCGCCTATCGATGATACTCGGGCATTCGAAGGGGTTGCCGTCCGCGAGTTCGACGCGCTGGATGAGGCGGTCCCAAGCTGTTTCGTCGGAGACTTGGTAGGTGACTGTTATACCACACAGAGATCAGAGAAAGCTCCCACATGAATGCAAACAAACTACACATCAGATTCACATACCCGTGCAATGCTTGAAGGTCGGGAAGTCCTCGGCACCGGGCTCGGGCTAGGAGCATTCAAGCTCATCCTCTTGGGCAGCCCGGGATCAGCGCCGGTCCCCTTGGCCGTGCCGCCAGTGAACATGCTGCTCGGCCGCGACCCTGCTTTCCTGATGGGCGCCGCCGCCGCCGCCGCCGCCGCCGCCGGCTTGGGCTGTGCGGCCGGCTGGGCCAGCACCGCGATGGTCGTGGGCCGCACGAAGATGCCGTGGCCCATCTCGCAGTCGAAGTACCGCTCGCCCTGGACGCTGCCGTCGTTCTTCCCGGTGTCGTCGTCGAGCTCGACGCCGACCCATTCGCCCGGGGCAAAGGCGGTGCCACCGACAAAACGGACGATGCCGACCTTGCCATCGCCGGTGCGAATGGTCTGGCCGACCGCGAGGTCCGTCATCTTGGCCGGTGATTAAGGGGGTGGGTTGGGCGGCATTGATTTGTCGCGGTGTCGAGGCGGTAGGATCAAGGCCCAAGCAGGTAGTTTGCTATCGTAAACCAGTTCGGGACTCGAGGCTGGGTTGTTGAATGGTCGTCGTAGTGAGAAAAGAGCTCCACGAGCTACCCTTACCTGTTTCCCCTGGACGTCTCCCAGCCGTCGGAGCTTGGTTTGGTTAGACGCGTTTGGATAAAGTAAACGCGATTATGCATGCTCCACCTTGCCAGCATTGGTGCATGGGAAGGTGGGACAGGACAGTGGGGATTCTAGAGGTTGTTGCACAATTTTGTGACCTGCGCACTTTATGAAACATTTGTGCCGCCGCCAAAGCTGTCAGCTCGGCATTCCAGACATCGATCCGTCTTCAGTCAACCTCGCGCAGCTTCCGACATGACACTTAAACGAGCTTTCTAGGGGTCAAGACTTTCAGACGTCTTGCCTACTTGCCCTAGGCATGGTTCAGCGTCGTGGATCCTTTCGGACTTCCTGTAAGCTAGAATCTAAGATGACAAGCTGCTCCATCACGGCAAGGTTTCTTCCCAGGGTTAAGAAAACATAAGAATCAGTATGTTTTATCTACTGCTTAAAGGCCATATTCGATATGGTCATGTACACATGTGGATGGCTTGTTACACTCTCCTCCTGAATGTTAAATACGGCGCTATCATGTCCTATCTCACCCTTGAACGGCGGCATCGGTATCTGACTGAATCCTCCAAGACATTTCCAGGGTCTACTCACTTATCACCCTCGACACCCACGCGGAAACTGCCCGCCCTCACCCATTCCAGAATCTCAAAAGTCAGTCGCCGCTTCATCTTCTCGTCCACCTCCTTCTCCCGGGGCATGCGGACAGTCATGAGCTTCGGGGCCTGGGTCTTGGGCTCCTCCTTGAACTCTGCATCGCGAAGCGCGTCCGGACCTTCGTCCGCGAATCGATCGGCAAATATGACCAGATCGGGGCCGACAATGCGGCGCCACAGGGTCGCCATCCATTGCCAATGGTCGACGGGGGCGTACGAGTCCATGATGGGGATCGACGACGCAAAGCGGTCAGCCGTGCTCAGCCTGAAGCCATCGGTGACCAGGGCGACGGGGACAGTCCGCTGTGGCTCGGCATCTACAGCGCTGGAGCCGCTCTCGGAGCCACTGGTATCTCCGGCGGGCTTCGTGCCAGGGACAGTAGTGATGTGCTTAACTATGTCATCAGACTTGGCGTGCCACTCCTTGATGATGTCCAGGTAGGCGGAGAAGGAACTCGGACTCGTCTGAGGTTCGGCGGGCTGAGCGCGTTCCTTCGACGATTCGGGGCCCTCCCGCATCTGGACATCATCATCGATCTCCAAAGCCTCATCGGAGAACTGTGTGTTCGGCCGGCCAGACCATGTTCGAACTGTGCACTCGCCCGACTTTGTCAGGGCGTCCTGTACAATCAGGCCCACCTCCTTCATCAGTGTCGGATCCGTGCCCTCGATTGCGATCAAAGGGCCTCTCGTCTCTGAAGGCGGGCAGTCGGGGCCTAGCGGCGCGAGTGCTGGGCTGATCCTGTTCAACATCTCCAACTTGCTTGTGTATGGAATGCCCATGACCATGGCAGTAATGCTTTGCGAGTGGCTATCAGACCCCTTCACGATGCCGAGACCGGTCGCCTTGATCGCCGAGGCTGGCTCGTCATGTCTTGCGGTGCGAGCTGAGGACGGCTGTGGTACCTGGGTCTGCAAAGGAGGGAGTCGGATGGGCGCATCGAACCGTCGGGCATCCCGGTTATGGTCCGAGGTAGCCGGGCGACCAGGTGGTGGCATCGGGGCATTTTGATGCGCCAAAGACGATGGTGCTGGAAGCGGGCTGAATGCAGCACTCGAAGTGTAAGGGACTGACGATGATGAGAACGCCGAGGGGTGGCTTGGCCATCCCGGCGGTTGCTGATGCACGTATGGCGAGTTCATACTCTGGAAGCTCCCTCGACTGTCGAAGCGACGCCGCTTATAGTCTGAAGTCGGAGACATTGCGTAGTCGTCGTCCATGTCCGCGTAATAGTACGACCTTCGCCTATCGTACGGGAAGGGGGTGCTACCAGGCGAGCCTTGGCGATGGTGGTGCCCAGTATCTACGGAACGGTTCAAAGGGTTGTGGTAAGGCGGCATTGCGGATCGAGATGTCAGAGGTGTTGCCAGAGGAGTAGATGGGGTCCTAGGGACAGCCACAACTCGTCGTCTCTGGCACTTGGGACAATGACTACCCTCTTCCTCGGCGGCTGCTTTAGATCCCTGGCCTTTACCGCCTCGTTTGGGCTTATACTTGTAGTCGGGATGCTGTTCCTGGTGCCTGCGCTTCTCCTCTTCGGCAAGCTCTCTCCACTTCTCCTGGACCGAAGTTGGTTCGCTCTTCCACTGCTCACCAAGAATCTTGGAGATCTCAGGATTGGGTAGACCTGGATTTTGTTGTACAACGCGAGCTTGCTGATGTTGCCGATACAGAATGAAGGCTAGAGAGTGAAACACACGCAGCGATCAGCTTGGACATTCCCAAAGCACCAACGAGAGCGGAAACAAAAGGACATGAGTTCGCCACTTCATCACGATACATAGCGGCTAGGGTTAGGAAGGTGCGTATAGCACCAAATATGAATGAAACACAGAGTCTGAGCTCACCATTACGCGGTCTCGGAACCTTGGGTGACGGCGGGCAAATGCACACGTCGTGAGGAATCAGGCTGGAACTGTGATCGTGATCCAGCGGCGTGTGCAGCGACAGACCCTGGACACGAGCTCTGTTTGCCTCTTGGACATTAATGGAAGCCGCAAGCTTCCTGTTCAGACGAGACAGCGACGCAACTGAAGGACTCTGTTGCTGTTGATGCTGGTGATGGTCATCCGGATGCCGGATCAAAGTCCCATCGCTGGACCGAGTGGTCATTCGATGGGCAGAGTGCGGTGTCTCCGTTTGATGGTGGGATGATACGTCCGCCATTTTCCGTAGGGAAGAGGCGAGCAGGGCCTGCAAGTGCAAACAAATGGCAGAGCAGCGTGGAGCGAGCCCGCTGTGGCAGGTGCGTAAGCTGAGGTGGCCGCCACCAAGGCCGGGACTGGGGTTCTTATTGTGATATTAATATCGGAAAGGAGAAGAAGGCACTGGTTGTTGAAGAGCAGCATAAGATGACCAGCTCAACAGGGGGCAATAGATGGAAAGGGAGCAGTGGGAAAGAAGAGGCAAGAGAACCAAGGACTCAATAAATGGCGAGCAAGGTTTCGTCAAGGCCGGAGCTCTTTGTGAGTGAAGAAGCAGCCCACTCAACAGGGAACAGGGGGACATTGACAAGCTGGCTGTCGGTCTGACCAGTCGATTATGGCTTTGACAATACCATCCCCCAGGCGGCCATAATGACCATAGTTGTGTGCAAACAAGACGCTGGCGGAACAAGCGCTGTATGGGCTGGTCTTGACCAGCGATCTGCCCTTTTTCCCCTCCCCGAGGCTTTGGGCTTGATGAAAGCCCTCGCTCGCTCGCGCAGGTTGTTAGCACCAGGCGTTATCTCGGATGAGGCGTGGTGTTCATCATCGTTTCGTCTTCCTTTGTCTGGATGTTTGTGGCTTTCCGCTCGCGGTATGGCTTGGGGACCCAAGTGACCGGCAACACTGGGGGACAATTTCTTTGACACGACATTATCCTTTCAAAACTGGATGGACCTCTTTCTTTCTTGTTTCATTTTTCATACACCTAGTTCTAGTTTGGCCTACTTGCTCCTAGGTTGCTTCCGCGACAACAATGGCCTCGCTCTGGAATGCAGTACCTGAGCGGCTTGGAATGCGAGCCCAGAACCAGAACAAAGACAATGTCTGCTCAAACATGACTAAAACTTCCTTAATTCCATCATCGTCTATTGCGGATGCTCCACACTCAAAGGTAATTTACATGTTGGCTCGTTTCTGAGCAATGTAGTTCAGCTGTTGCCGCCGTTTGCGTTTGCGTTGTGGAAAAGGGGAAATTGGACCAGCAATATGGGGCCGAGATGGGAGAGTGTCTCGGGTCCGCCAGCCAAATTTCCAGCCAACACAGCTTGGTGCTGCTCTTCTTCCTCTTTTTGAAATCTTGGTCAATAAAATCAAACAGAAACTCACACCGACTCCGGCCTTTGAGGCTAGTCCCTAGAAACCCAATTTGATCCCGCTGTTCACCGGTCCCCCTCGCATTATGTGAATTGTGACAAGTCTCCATTTTAGACCAACACCTCCCCCAGCCTGCTTATGCAATGAACTCTCGACCGCCCTCGCCACTCAGCAGCTGTGCGCTCCGTCTGGCATCCAGGAAGAGCTCTTCACACTCGGCAACATCCTTGACGTCAATTTCCTTGCGGCCGTTCACCCGGGCCAGGATGCTATACAGATCTATGTTAGTGTGTGTCCTTGTGTGTCTTGAGTGCCTCAAGAGAATTAAACAGTCAAACAGGCAGAGTGTGATTTAATGTACCTTGCAGGGGTCAGCAGCTGAAGGCAATAGCGCATGCTGATTCGCACACCGTGCTCCGCAATTTTGTCGAGCGCAGCATCTGAAACTGCGACACCCTCTGTGGCTGCCCGGATACGGACGATCCTCTTGATCTCATCGGCGTCGTATGCAGTGGTCGGGATGATCAGCAGCCTAGCCAGAAAGTCTGTCGGGATACCATGGGCAGCAACAAGGTCATCAGTGCCGCGAATGGTGGTCATGCCACGGTTGGACGCAAGAATTACAATTGGAGAGATCGGCGTCTCCAGGGCCTTGTTCAGATACGTGAAGCACTCGAGATCGAGCATATGGGCCTACGCTTGGGTCAGCTTGCGAGCAATCAAAGCTTTGTGGGGGGGCTGGCAATACCTCATCAATGAAAAGCACGCCAGGTACAAGCTCGGCCACACCCTGGTCGATGTATTTGCTGACCACTTTGTTGATCTCGGTTCGTAGCTTGTCGGTGATTTCTGTCATCCGAGGCTTCATGAGCTGGCCCATCATCGACATGATGTCTTGTCCACCCTGCGGCCTAGCATTGGCGACATCGAGGTCGTGAAGCGTGACATCCTGAACAATCTCCTTCTTCTTGTGCACCTCGCCCTTGGGAATGGGCACGTACTCCTCGGCCTCGAGATCGAATTCGGTCGCATAGGCGTCCGATCGGCCGACGCGCTTGCACGCGCCGGTGTTTGCTTCGATATAGATGACATCACCGACCGTAACACGCTCCTTCTGGATGGCCTCGTATATGCTGGGGTCCAACCTGAGCTTCTTCTGGCCCTTTGCGCTCTTGAGTCCAATGAGCAGCGTGCTGATCGTCTTGCCGTAGCCGCCGAGAGGGTTCTCAGCCTCCTCGGGCGTGAGCTCCGTAACCTCGCCCTCGTAGACCTCCTTTGTCTCCCGCACCTTCAGGCCGATCGCCCTCCGGAAGTTCTCCATCAGCATCTCGGTCTTCTTCACCTCGGTCGAGTATATCTCGCTGCCAACAATAGGGCAGAATGGGATCTTGGTGCCCAGCTCTTGGCTGATGGCGAGAGCCAGAGCTGTCTTTCCGGTGCCGGGTCCGCCAGCAAGCATGACTCCCCTGCCAGCCATCTTGTGTGCCCTAATAAGGTCGACTACAACACCGCATGCCTGTGCCAGCAAAAGTGAGCAAAAGGTGAGCCGCACAACCTTCCACAATCTTCAATTCCTACATACCTCTCGCGCCGTGGTCTGGCCGACAAATCCAGAGGCTTGCTTCTCTGCCGTTCCATCGGACTTGAGACCTAGGCCTTTGATATGGGTATGCGCTGAAGTGCGATTCTCGCGGTTGCTGTTCTTGACCTCGCTGATGTTGACCATCTTGGCGGTTCTACGTGATCGCTGAGGGTGGGGGATGGAGATTCGGGATAGGTCCGGCGATTTCGAGTTCAATGAGAGAAGCCAGACCGAAAGGGAATATGACGCTTCTTGTTGGGGGTTGGAGCTGACAAAAAGGTCGTGGATTTGGACTGGGATAGTCTGAAGCTTGCGACTAGAAATTTGGGTCGCGCCGCGCTTTCGCCCTGCAAAATCAGGATCACGTGTCATTGGCTGGCGGATGATCTCCCTCTATCAAACCCATCCCGTCGCCTACATTGCTTCGTCTGCAGTTTTGACAGCCCACGTCAGATACTTCTCTATGAAAAAACAGTTCCACAATCCTCTTTTGGATTTTATTTTCATTTCTTTGGTAACATTCTGGTCATCTAGTCCTGGACCATCTAACACCAGTTGTATCAGACATCTTACGCCCAGTCTATCGTTGGATCACCTCGAGTGGTATCGGCCTCGTTTCATCCTCTCCATCACTCTCATCTTCATCTTGCTCTTCCTCCTCATCGTCTGTGTCAGCGAGCATCGGTACCCGCTCCATTCCAATTTGGCCTGCCTCTGCCACAGCAGGTGAATCTTGGACGACCGGTGCCTTCTTTGAGAGCGCAACCCAAAGTGCGCTGCCGACAATCATTCCGCAGCCAATGACACTGATGACACCCATTTCATGCCCAAATATCCACTTGTCAAAGGCAGCTGCGAACAGCATGTGTGTGTAGACCATGGCTGTAGCTCTGTTAGAGCGTTCACTTCCGAGGCCGGCAGTCAGCAAGAACTGCATGCAAAATCCAGTGACCCCAAGGAACGCGCAGAGCGTCCACTGCCACAAAGAATTCGGTAAACCGAACTGCATCCCGGGCTGATCGATGTCGAGTATTGGGCCGAGCGTCAACGCTACTATACACACGAGGGTTGACCATGTCGAAAAATAGTTGACCGAGATGAGTGGGTGTGCTCTTTTGCCGATGCTTCGGATGGTGGTGAACGCTAGTGCAGCACCGAGGACACCGACGAGTGATATGCCAATCGCTCCAAGGCGCTGCAGTGGTGTAGCCTCCATTTCGCCTCCTGGAGATGAATACGGGTCCGTGCCGTTGGCCGGAATCCCCGGAGCGATTTCCGGAGGCGTGCTCCCGTTCCCAGACGACGATGAGAACAAGGATGTCGGCCGGGCGATCAGGACTACTCCGGCGAGCGCGATGTAAGAACCGATCTGTTCCTTGCGCGTGAAGGGCTCATGGAGCAGGACGTGACAGATATACCCAGAAACGCTCGGCACTAGGAACGTGATGACCGTCGCCTCAGCAAGTGGAAGGTACAGCATGGAATACCACATGCCAAAAATGCCGAAGAAACCCGTTATTCCTCTTGCAACAAGCAGCCATCGAACTTCCCTGGCTCCGAAGGGAAAGTGTGGCGTATTCTTCCAGTACATGTATACGCAAGCTCCGATCATAGTCATACTATGCCGCGCGAAGAGTAGTTGCATAGGATGCATCTTGTTTCCGCTATCGTGTTCGAGGAGTCGGGCAGCCACATTCATCAATGCTGCGAAGAGCTGAGCCGTTGCCACCAACACCACGGGCTTGTTCTTTGCCCAGAAGCGGCGCCGCAGATCACCAATCGCCTTCTTGGCTCTCTGGATCCTGGTCGAGGGAGCTGTTATCGGGGCCCCGAAGGGAACAGCAGAGGAGGGCTCGTGGTCCCCGTAAGAGAACGGGCTGGACGACATACGGCGGATGGAGTCGACATCCAGACGTTCGGAGTCCGCCTTGAGACCATCCGTTGGTTTCCCCAATGCTATGCTCTCCATTGACACTCGGTGGGAATGGCTGTGGGCTCGTTCATTTTCTTCGTCGAGCCTCGACTTGGCCCGCGGGGTCTGCGGGATCTCATGGTAAGGGCTCATTGGGCACTGTGATCATTCCAGGCAACCACAGTCGGACTTGTGCAGAAAAGACGATTCTTGGACTCAAAACCTCGAGATGACCGTGACAAAATTGGGCTATTGGATGTATTTAACTGTGACAATGTCCCAAACAACAGCCAAGCACAGATTTTCAGGAATAGAAACACCAACAAAAATAGACAAGATGCAGAAAAAGGAAAAGGCTGGTGGCACAGGTCAGTCAATTCTTAGTGATGTGATTCATGGGATCACCGCAAGGCCTTCCTCTAAAGGCGGGGTGTGTGTTGAAGGTGGAGACCGGGGAAGATTTCGGCCACCACTTCGGAGGTGTTTGTCTGTTGAGATCCCTGTAGAGCCCATTGAGCCCCCAGCGACCGATGCCCAAAAAGAGCCTGAAAGCGTGTGAAGTTGAGCCGCAACCTTTTGGATGCTATGGCCGGCGCACGCGACCATGCTGCCAAGTGTTCAGGCTCCTGTGTGATAGGGCAGAACATCTCCGTCATCGCAACACTTTCAGCGGGGCGAGATGGCGACTCCATCACTCCATCACGTACTAGGCTCTGCAAGGACTGGCGCTGTCAACTTGGAGGGGGGAACGGGGGCCTTGGGGGCTGCGGGAAAGGGCAAATCGATGCTGACAACCAGGCTCCCAGGTTAAGCACATCCGCCTCTCTTGTTTTGCGTGCATGGGACGGAAGATGTGGACATATGTGGCCGTGCTGTGCCGACTTGTTCGTGGGCAATGTCGCCATGGGACCGAAGCTTTTTTGATATGACTCTAGCCGTGGCTCCTTAAGTGACATGCCCACGGGCTTTGCCAAAGCAGCTGCTAGAGAGGTCCAAAAAGTGGTGCAAGAAAAAAGTCCTGTATTCCGCCAAATGACATAAGTCGATGTAGAATGCCGGACCGATGTGGCCAGTGTCCATAGCAGTCCCAGTCCATATTCCCATATGTTGCCCGACGCCGTCGCTGTAAGTAGACAAAGAAAAGACAAGTAGAAGTGAGCCGCAAACAACCATGCTCATCGGGGAGATCATCTCTTCCGTCCCATGGTATCCATCTCTGCCTCCTCATCGTCATCCCCTTCGTGAAGCTCCTCCTCGGCCGCTGCCGCCTGCCGGTCCTTCTTCTTGCGGCCCCGCCCGCTCTTCTGGCCCTCCGACTGCGCATCTCCATTGGGGCCGCCGTCGCCGGCTTCGCCCTCCGCGAGCTTCTCAAACCCCTCAAACTCGCCCTTGGCGCCCCCGGCGCCACCCTCGGCCAGACCCGGCAGCTTTCGGGCGTCCTTGATCTCCTTGGAGCTCTCGAACATCTCACGGACCTTGCCGAGGAACAGTGGGTTGCGGCGCATGGCAAACTCAAAGTCCTCGTACTTGATCTTTTGCCGGCCGGCGTAGTGGGCGGCGCGGGCGGCCTCGAAGGACAGGCCCTGGATGAACTCGGTCGCGATCTCGTCGAGCACGCGCATCGACTCGGGCAGGGGTTCGCGGGCGTCGCCGCTGCCGTAGAGAAGCTGTGTCACTGCGGGGGGGGGGGAAGTTCAGAACATATGATAGACAGGAGGCGGGATGGGGAAGAGTCTGAGACGTACGCTCTCCATAGCCAAAGTTCATCTTGCCGACATTCTTGCCGGCGCGCGCGCGAACCTCCATCTTGGCAGCTCGTCAATGATTCTGGTGCGATATTTCTTGCCGTGGTCGAGAAGATATAGGTATTTCGTCTGTTCAGCGGTCCTCTATTGGGTAGCAGACCGTGGATATGTGATGTCGTGGTTGGTTGTGTTGAAGGATTCGATCTTGAGTTCTGAGGTCGACTTTAGCTTGGTGGAAGCTTGGGCCCAAGCCAAGCAATGCATACCGTTATGGTGAATTAGCCGCCGCCCACAGTGGATCATCGCGCTACCTAGATTCGCGGCATGCTTCCTTGTGCCACCTCTAGAAATCTATGGATACTTTATCATCACGGATTTGAACCTTCTAGGTTACCTTCAGGGCCTGTCATTGGATTCTAGGTCATCTTGCTCCATCTATGGTTGTTTCATTTCTCCCATACGCATCGTTCTGGGTCTTCCTATCGCTGGCTTCTCTTGGAATAAATTACTGTGCTTCAGTTCAATACTCCCTCAACCACTTCCGCTTTGCCATCATCTGGAGGAGATTGAGGCGAACCTCCATTCCCAAGCTCTGAAAGCAATGGCATATCTGCTCTTGCTTGCATACCGAGTAGAATACTGGGTTTGATGCATGCCGTGTGTAGCCTATTTCATATATCGATAGCCTAACTATACCACCGAGGATTCCACATCGCCAGCAGACCCAAATACTCTAATACTCGATTCAGAAAAGCGAAAGGACCCTCACTTTAAAACACCTTTCTTGTTTGACCCGAGCCCTATAGCCCGTCCGGTACATTCCCGCTGACATAGAAGGAGAGGTATTTGACAGGTCATATAAGATGGCTTATGTATGTGATGCCCTTCGCGGAATATCGCCTACTTCGAGCGTATGTAAATGCAGAGGTAGAATTGCTGCTATCTTCAGAGGCCCGAATTCGTGTGACCCTGGCGGGTTCTCAAACTGTCCTTGTGAGTACTGGGCTTGCATTGCTTCCTTCGACTCAGCTGAGTTGCTATCAAACCACACCGCGTCCGGTGTTATTTGACGTAGGGCCGATGACGTGGAGGTTGCCCTGCGTGAAGTGTGGGATCGAGATCTTCAACGGGCCATCGGGTATCGGAGAGTTACCAGGACATAGAGAAATAGTATATCCATCCCACCTTGCCCGCACCACTGCCAACAGGGCAGGTTCCCCCTTCCGTCTCCTACAGCTTGGCACAACTCTATCGCACCTCATCAAAGTCAGAATAGACTGCCGTCATGGCAGACACGGACCTCTCCAAACTGAACAGGAAGACGCTCCGCGTGTCCCGGGGCTTCACCTACACCTACTACACCTCACCGGCCCGGGACTCCTCCAAGCCGACGCTGATCCTCTTCCACGGCTGGCCCGACACCGCCCGGCTCTTCGCGGGCCTGGCCAACGACTACCTCGTCCCCAACGGCTACGGCATCGTCGCGCCGGACTGCCTCGGCTACGGCGGCACCTCCAAGCCCACCGACGACGAGTCGTACGCCTGGCAGCGCATGGCCGCCGACGCCGTCGAGATCCTCGACGCCGAGGGGCTCGACCGGGTCGTCTCGGCCGGCCACGACTGGGGCAGCGCCCTCGCCCAGCGCCTCTACCACTTCCACCCGGCGCGCGTCGCGGGCCTCGTCACGCTCAACGTGCCCTACCTGCCGCCCACGGGGGACTTCGACCTCGAGGCCGCCAACGCCGCCACCAGGCAGGCCTGGGGCGCGGGCGTCTACGAGTACTGGCGCTTCTTCACGGCCGGCGACGCGCCGGCCCTCATGGCCCGCAACCTCGAGTCGGTGTACAGCGCGGCCCACGGCGAGCCCGCGACCTGGGAGCAGAACTGGTGCTCGCCGGGCGGGATGCGCGCGTGGGTCTCCGAGGGCCGCACCCAGCCGACCCTGCCGTACGCCTCGGGCGAGCACAAGGCCGACTTCATGAGGCGGTTCGACCCCTCCGAGGGCGGCGGCGACGGGTTCGAGGCGCCCTCCTGCTGGTACAGCTCGTTCGCGTTTGGCGTGCAGAACGCCGCAGACAGGCTTCTGCCGAAGGACGCCTGGACCGTCCGGGTGCCGACGCTGTTCTGGGGCGGAGCGCAGGACTTCGTGTGCAGGCCTGCCGGGATGCAGCCGAGCATCGACGCCGGGTACCTGCCCAACGCAACAGTCATCGTGAGGGACGGAGGCCACTGGGCGCTTCTCGCCATACCAGATGTGTTTGGAGAGGACTTGCTGAGCTGGCTGCAGAGCACTTTCTAGTTTTGTCGGCCACGGATGATTAAGAGTGATGGCGTTTGCCGATTCGCTGTGGACCATCAGACACGATGTGTGATGATCTGCAAATGCACTTCTTGGATAAACATCTCCCTCCCTCTCAGCCCTCTCGTTCATCGCACAATGAATGTTCTCCTAGAGTCCCATGCTTCGGTGGCCCAGGATCATAATAATCAAGGGTCGTAGCATTAGAGTCGGAAAATCAGATATACGTGAACTCGCAAAACGGAGTGATGCAATCAGAAGCCCACAGGAACCTACCAGTGGCTCCGGGCGCCTGACCATTATGAACACGCCTTACTTCGCTGGCAAGTGCCTAACCGTAAGATTCTTTCGAAAGGGGTTCTCTCTTGCCTTTGATAGAGGTATATTGGTCTAATCACCATATAGGAGGATCCGACGGACGGAGGCGTGCGGGCCCGGGGTGCGGGCCAGCGGGCCAATGATGGTTCAGGCGCGTTTCCACTTCGGGTAAATATCAAGGTCACAATTCCTGGAAGCCACCCCCCCGGATCTCATCGTAGCAAGGACTGGGCACTTAGAAAGTTGTTCTACGCTTATTCCAGTCATTACACGTACTCAAATGGATTTTCCAAGCACAGCTTCTTAGAAATCTTCCATATGCAGGATGTCTTCGCGGTTTGGTCAGTCGCAGGTGTGCCCCAAAGCATTCCCATTGAAGTCTTTGCCTGCCGTTATTTTGCACGGAATGTGAATCCACACCTTCACCCAGTGGGTGTGTGCACCGGGGCTTGTTCTCCTGTCGTTGGCCCGTACCGGAGTGAGAGATGAACCTGACAAGGCTGCACAGCCGCTCATTGATCCCAAGGAGCGGGAGAGAGGTCATATATCTGCGACGGAGCCGCCCTCACTGGCTGGGCGGACCTGATCTCGGGCGGGCTCCCTTACGGCTTGCCATGTCTTGGGTTATCGGAATTTCTAGACGGCACGCCGGTCGAGCCATACATCATCAGCCATACCTATGAGACACTCCTGGGCGAGATCCAAGAATCGCACCTTCGAGATGGGGGTTCACTCGATGGCGAACCTGGGGGAGGCGGACTGCTCCCGTTCCAGTGGTGCGCTACAAGTCCCGTTCCCGTGCCGTTAAGGACTTTTGCTATTTGTGTACGCCAAGGCGGCGGCAGACTTTGCTTGTACGTCCCATTGCACTGTCGTGAGCTTGCATCACCAGAAATTTGTTGGGGAGTTGTGGCACTGACACAGTTAGAGACAGAAGTGTTGTGCTGCTGCTGAAGGGTGAAGTGATGCACTTGCATCATCCGGACCATTGCTTCCAGACCCGTGCTCACAATCCAAGGAGATATGCAGAACTTTTGTTTGAGACAATGCGCGCGGCAGTTGGCAACTCTCAGCCTGGTACGATCCGTGGACGCGGTTGCCTCGAACACCAAGGCGTTCGCCTTTCATTACTGGGTCTGCTCGATGACGAGACGCAACATCACCAAAACGTAACCCCTCTAAGGAAATTCGCCAGGCCAACGGCTCACGGCAGTATAGATGAGTGACGACCTGTGCTGAAAAGGTCCGAATTGGCATGCAGTAACGCATGGCGAGGCCCGAGCCAGAACAGCCGTCATGATACCTTTGCATTTCTCGTCCGACCATCGTCCTGGACGATCCATTCCGGGGACTTTTGGGCAACTTCGCCCCCCATTCCCCGGAGATCCATGCCGTCCAGGGATCTCGCTGCACTGGCTGGAATGTGTTGTGCAACTCTCGGTACAGTGTGCACTCGGGTGCTAAGGCCTTGTGGGAGAACAAGTCGGTTCCCGGAAGCTGCATCTGGACTCAAATGGTCGAGAAAGGAGAAACAAGGCCTCCGTAGAGATGCTGTGGCCGGGTTTGCGTGACAATATGGGCGTGATGCACTGGGTCAAGTGAGGCTTGCGACATCCACACTTACACGGCCACTTGGAGGTGCGGGGTGGTGAACGCGACTACTCCGTACTTGAGTTGTGCAAACATGCTGGCGTCCATTTTCATGCCATGCGGCTTGTTGCAAAACGTACACGACGGCTACAGGCCTGAGTGCAGTGCACACAAAGCCAAGGTCGGTGCCGCTTCAATTACCAAGGCGGGAACCCAAGGTGCGACAAAAGGTGCAAAGCCGATAGGGCCCCACGGGATCAGGCTGCTTTTGCCTGATGCTGCGCAATGGTATGCACATTGCGGCAACCATTAGTACGACTGCATAAAGGCGCATCCTGATTGACCTTCATCGACGGGATTGCCCTTGGAGCAAATGGCAATCCGATTGCAGGTCCAAGGTGCATAATGCGACAGATGTTATAGATGGACGATCACGCGGGCTCCAGCACCACGGTATTCAGCATCATGCAGAAGGTACAGGGCCAAATTTTGGCGACTCGGGCACCGAGTTCCCACTAGTTGAGCGGTGTTTGAACAACCAGGCAGCCCATGCTCTACTCTCAGACTCTGGCGCACTTGTCTCCTGTATCACGAGCGGATCTGAGATGGGGGGTGTGACAGAAAAATGGGAGTGGGTGGTGGGCAAGTCAGCGGCTCCAGCGGCTCCTGTTGATTATTGGAGTGCAAGTTGAGAATTCGAGAGTCGCAGATCCGTGGGAGATCGACCTGAAACATCGTCTGATTGTTTTGCAGCAACAGCTTCTAGAGCGAAACGTTCGGCCGAGTCCACCGAAGCACTGGCTGGTGTGATCCAGTTCACTGGGGCGCTTCAAGTGTGATACGCTGGCAGCACAGACTGGTCTCGCATGTGTCACAATGCTTTCTACGTCGTAAGCGGGCATTGGCATTGATCTGCATTGCACACTGCAAAGCACTCTGGTGTGTTGAGCAGCTTTCGTAATCCTGTTGGCTCTTGAAAATCAATCGCTAACGTTTGAGTGTCTAGCAGGACTTTGGTTGTGTGAGAATCGACAGAGTTCCCAGGGTATCGGGCCACGCGAGACAGGCAGTCGGGAGCTAGGAGTTCGCCGATCGCCTAGATGGTAGCGCCGTCCGAGCGTGCCGGCTCCGGCTCCGGAGCCCTGCTTCGGTATCCTCCAGTGTTGTCGTCTGTGAGCACACAGCCGCAATTGCACGAGCATCTCTGAGTTGGATTCCAAATCCTTCTCGATCAGAGGAATGTGCTGACGAGGATGTTGACGCCCAAGACATTTGGACTGTGGCCTCGTCGCCTGGCAACTGACCCCAAGAGAAAGGAGCACCCTGAGGTAGGCTTTCTCTAAACCCACTGCCTTCGACCCTCGGCGAACAGGAATTTGCCATTCTCGCTTTGACATCCCAATCAAGTGTCTCACGAGACCTCAAATGTCCCATTCCTCATTTCCTGGGCCAAATCCCGCCCTGTCTGTAAATCCAAGCGTGTCAGCACTCGAACTTCTACGGCCATCAGTGAACGCAGGCCGCCAACTTAAGCAAGACCCAAACCTCGCGGCTGACGTCAGTCTGATCAATGACAGAGAACCCTCTCTGAAAAGATCCATCAGTGGATGGTGCTCCATGGCTAGGTCAAGCTACCTACTCTCTCCGACCCCTTTGTGGAATGTGGATGGACTCTTAGTGCTGGTTGCACCTTTCATCAGACAAGATGGCCATTTAGGTCACCGTTAGTCTGAAATCGGCATCTTGACCAGTCAAGCCAGTCTAGGCACCGGAGCAGATTCACCAGGGAGGAAATTCTGGTCATGTTCTGCCAAGAAAGCCAGGCCGCCCGGGAGAAAACGCACGGGAGAAACTGACTTCATTCCGAGTCATGGGATTCGCTAGCAAGAAAGAGGAAAATCTGGCCGCCGACCGGCCAGTTTGCCGTCTTGGTGCCTCCGTTGCAGAACCACCCGGGGACCCGGCGGCGGATCCCTGGCCCCACAACGCGCACATCCAGAATCTTGGGAAACGGTCAGCAGATCGAACGACGAATCAGCCACTGTTGTCATGGCCTACGCTGACGGGAGAAAGGTCCCATGGCTCGACATCTGGACAATGTTCGGTGCGCACTTGGACGAGCATGGTTCTGGAGGAGAGTTCCTTGGTTGAGGTCCAGCCCGGCCAGTCCATCACGGTGGCGCTCGGATAAGGCCACAAATGGCTCATCCAACACAAGTCCCAACTGCCTCGTTTGCACAGGAGGCTCCGGCCTGCGCTCGGTGCTGCGCTATGCTGATTTCACGTCATTGTGGCGGCCCGGTTTGGTGGCTGATGTTATCGAGTCAGTCAGCAATGCAGCAGGGTTGGTGGAAGCTACGCGAAGGCCCATGAAGGTTTGGAACAAACAGAGACAGATCTCACGCCACTGCCGATTCCATCTTCGAAGCATATCTACGGTAGACAATCGCGAATTGACGTTGAGCTGGTCCTTCACGTTGTGCTGAGCCAAGCGAGGCAGAGCAGCTGTATGGACAGCCTCGCCTCACCACCTTGCGACCGGACTAGTGCGCCACTACAAGTAAGGGGGGCGCCGTATTAAGCGCAGGGACCAGCATGCTTGGGGCCAGGATTGGCCTGGGACACCCCCTTGCAACTGTCCCAAATTACGCCTGGTGGACTTTGGACAGACCCCTAACGACGGGAAGAGTTACCGGATCGTTGGGACGAATCCCACGTCGCTATGCTCGCTTCTACAAGTAAACGCTCACCACCCACACCTTCCATTGCCTAATCGAGCGGGCGGTCAAGATGAGGGTTACACCGCGCAATTTGCTCTCCTTCTCGATATGCACACACGGACCCGATCCTCGCACTGCGACTTCCCTGGCATGCCTATATTGTGGCAGCCTGGGAGCAGGGAAGACGATGAGACGCCCGTACTCATCGTCAGCCTCGCTTTTTTCTGGCTGCATCCATCCTGGGTGATTGCATTCACGCTCTGACGGAGGAACGAGAGTTAGAGGACCCGTGCCATTGCAGATATTTTCCCTGCAGGAAGGCATCAAGAGGGCTTGTACTTGTAGTAATGCAAGCACTAATGCATGGCTACTTGCAGTCGACTTCAATCCCGTCCGAATGGCGGCTTCTGTGTCGCCAGACGCCGCCGCCCGGATATATTGCTCACTAAAAGCCTTTGGCCGCATCCGGTATTGCATTGCGTCGTAGCGCGGTGCGGTGGTGCGGTGGTATCTTGCCGCGCTGATCACCATGCAGCCACGGAGCACGGTTCGAAGTGCTTCTGAACCTCGGCCACTCCTGGGCCACATGCTCTCTCCTGACATCCCACTCGAGGCGCTAAACAGCCCCGAATCTTGGGTGGGTTTATCAGGGGGTGAAGGCGATAATGTGGATGTGCATCAGGGTGTTTGGGCCTCTTTAATTCCATTTTTGGTGTGCGTGACCCCCAGGAAATGAATGATAAGCTGCATCCGTTTCCGTTCCAGTGGCTCGTTTATTTGCCAAGTATTCCGGCGACAGCGAAGGCAGGGAGGGAGGCCAGGGTGTGTTTTTTCTCTCTCTTTACACCGTCCAACAAGCAAGGGCCCAATATAAGCCAGATGCAGGACCAGCGCCGGCATTATCCCCGAAAGCAAGGAGGGAATACAGTAATGTAGGGCTTTCCATCACGACGACCTATTTGAGCCGTCGTTCCAGCCCAGTGTTCAAGGAACCCTTCCCCTTTACAACACCACCTACCTAGGTAAGCTAGTTAACAACGGAGCAAAAAACACGGATCGACAGGCCGTCGCAGCCGTGTCTTGTGTGCTCTACCCAAGGTAGTCCTGGGTAGTTGATCGGGCAATGGACCGAAGACGTGCGAACACAGCGCAGCGCAGCGCGGGTCAAACGGAACTGGAATTGGCGATTCAAGTCACTGAGGACCCAGAACAAACTGAGCTGAGGGAGGCGAATTTTGGGCAGCCGCTCGCCGGGCGCCGAGACTGGGTGACCGGACGAGCTGAGACAGGCCGATGCGAGCCCAGCTGGGTGTGGCCCCCGACTCGACTAACTGCCTACCTCCTACTCCGTACTTGTAAGGTTTCTGCCCGTTTGAGCAGGTCGCTACGCAACCTGGAGGCCACCTGTTCCCGCTGATCGGTGTCGGCGACCAGGCGGGTCCAGCCACTGGAAAACGGGGGGTGTTAATTATTCCCACACTATTACTTCGTAACTACCTGTAAAGTGCCTTAGATTGAGAGACGGTGGAAGAGAAGTGGGATGGATGCGTGCGGCATGGGTCAGCATACCGTAAAGTCCACCAAGTACGTCAGTCGAGCCAAACAGCATCCGCAGTATCGTCTTACTCCATCAAGTCTCCTCATCGCCTCTCCCTCTACAGTGCAGGGTCAGCGTCGTGGGTGGCATGAGTCGCCTCTGAGCGGCAGCCGTAAAACTCAGGTTGTCTCCAGGCTGTGTGTGCCGCTTGTGGCAGAGGCAAACGACAGAGGTAGATTCCAGGTGGGTTTGCCCGCTGAAACAGGTGTGGGTGGTCAAGTAGAGGTACCTGTACTGCTTCTCCGTCCAAGAGTCGGGTAAGAGTCAGTTGATCGTGGTCGGGGCACTGTTGTAGAGCCAGAACATTGAATTTATAGGGGTCCCACCATCGCCAATACCGACTAAAAAGCGCCCTAATCAAGAGACTAAGGCAAGGTACAAAGGCACTCGCTCGGCCGGGGGGGGGCCACCATCGAAGGGGCCATCGAGAAGATTGTTGGAAGGCTTCGCCTGGTAGCATCGCCCTTCCACCATCCACCGGCCTGGATCTGGGCTAGGCTCGAGATGGACATGGGGTGGGTGGAATGGTTCAGGTACGGGATATCAGATATGCATGCCACGCTATGCGGCCCCAGTCGCCTCCACCCAAGCACCACCAGCCCACAGACGAATCCATGCCATGCCGGCTTCTCCTGGATTCCCACCCCGGCCTGCTTGGCCTGCTTGACTCTTGTCTGGCTGAGCGCCCTGGAGCATTACTCGTTCGCCGCTGCAGGTCGCCGTCCCCCCGAATCAGCACCCCAGCAAGCAGCGGCGGCGCTGCGCTGCGTGCATACGAGGTTGGTTCATTGCCAAGATTGCTGGCTGCAATGCTGGCCAGAAAGGATACGATGTGGATGAGAATCAGTGAGCAAGTATACAGTAGGCAATAGTTGGTCAGAGTGGAAAAGAAGCAAAGGAAGCATGAAGGAGAGGGCTTGTAGAGGGCCCTGGATAGATGAATTCAATATCTCCAAGTGCTGTGGACTCCATGTTGAAATATGTACACTTTCGCTATGTGACATCCACACTGTAAAAGTGCGTGACCAGAGGTAAAGTACATCAGATAGTTACGCTGGTTAGATCCATGATCCATGATCCGTCCCATCCCATCCCATCGCATCCATCCTGTTGATCCTCCGAGTGTGCGATCCATGCCGCGCCACGGCCTACCTCGCCCGTCGCCGGCTTGTCTCTCTGCGCGCATCCATTACTACGGTGCCATGACACCTTCTCGACTTTCTAGGTCCCTTCTTTCGCGCTTGACTAGTTTCAAATCGAACATGGACTAATCCTTACTCCCTTCTTTCGTTCTAGCTACGCTTAGCTTCCCTGGCCTGACGCTTCCCATCCTCCACTTCCCTCACCACCCTCTTCTCTCGTGTCATCTCCATCTCTACTACTCTGTCTCTCCGTCTCTCTCTCTCTCTCTCTCCTTTTCCCCATATTTTTCACTTCCCTTTCCCGTCGTTATTCAAGTCAGTCACTTTTAATAATACCTCCTGCCGCCACCGCTCCGGTCACACTCCTTCTCGCTCCCCCGGTCGATTCATTGCTCCTCTCTTCCTTTTGTTTCTTCTTTTTCCTTCTCACCTCCCACCACTCGGCATCTCTCCATCGTGCTATAGATCCATCTCGGGACTTCGTCTTGCGCCATTGGCTCGCTGCTACCCTCTCTATACCCTGGTCTTCCGTTCGTCGACGACAGTAGAATAAAAGAACCCCTTTTTGTCACAAGCCGGAGTTGCCCAATCCGGGCTTAATCTAGCACGCCTCACCCATTCCGGTCTTCGCAGCCGACGACAAATCAACACCACCGCCGACGCCGCCGCCGCCGCCTCGACCACGACAACCACCAACACCACCATCCGCCCCCCCTGCTGTGGTACAACATTGGCAAGAGGCAACGCTCCGTCTTCTCTGCAGGCACTCTCGCACTCTCGCCTCGCCGCCTCCCGTTCGAATGCATTAGAATCTCGGCCTCCCGGCACACGCTCTCTCGTTCGACCGAAGCCCTTCCGTTCTTTGTTGTGCCCTCTTGCACATTTTCTTTTCTAGAAAGACTCGGCTCTCGTATTACTACCCGGGCAAACAGGCACTTGCACGGATTAATCTTTGGCTACCCGGCTGCTGCCGCTCGCCTCTCTTGGTCGAAAACGGAAGCTTTCTTGTCTATCTGATAGGCGGTGCTCTGCAAACAAATCTCTTCCTCATCGCAGCTTGGGGAAGAGTGAAGCCCTCTCTCATCTTTGACTGGCGTTCTCTTGCATTGCACCACTTCTTTACTTTCCAGTAGGTCGCCTCCCTTTGAGTCCAAGGGTGCACTGCACCATGCAAATGTCGCTCGACTGTCCGTATCTGCCCAACCACACCATGCAAGCACCCGCCTTGTCTCCAGAACACGAGGACGAGGTTTTCCGTGCGCCGCCAGGAGCTCTGGGCTTTGCGGACCACCTGGGTTTGCGGGTAGAAAGCGAAGGGGCGGCATTCAAATACTTTGGGGTTTCTTGTTGGCTAACCTTGTGCGCTTTGCAGAGTAGCATCCTACCTTTTTCTTCGCCGGCTTTCTTCCACAGCTTCTGTGGCTGCATCAGAACTTTTTCTTGTTTCTGACCACAAATTCGGGCTTTGTCAGGCCATATATACACTCATATATCTGGAGAGAGGGCGAAGGCCGCCTCACGCTTGTGCCCCTGAGTGGCCCCTCCCCCTTCTTCTTACTAAAACTTAATACACACCTACGCGAGAAAGGCCTGCCACACCCGGTGGGATAACTCGGAGGATCACAGACAAAATGAGCGACCAGAGCGCAAGTAATAGGATAAATGGCGGCTTCGTGTCGAGCCATGGCAGGACGAAATCAGACGAGACCGGCACCGAGGGCACAGTAGAGACGAGCATCTCTTCGACGCAGCAGCAGGAGGATAGGAACCGGATCGGCAGCCAGCTCTCGCAGGACCTCCCTCGCAAGTACGACGAGAGACATGTCGCAAGCCCGGCTGTCTCAGATGCGCTGTCCCGCACCAACTCCGAATTCTCGGCCAGATCTGCGTCACCCCAAGTATCGCCGAGGGGTCGCGAACCTGCACGAAGGCTCGAGCCTCCGGTCACCAAGGCCACCCTCAGCGAATTGGACGTCACCAAGATCATCCACAACCCCAAGCTGCGGCACGATATCAATTTTGACCCGGAGCTGCACTTCCGGCCGAACCTGGACGGAGAGAAGGGCCGGAGGAAACAGGAGAAGGCGAATCAGTTTTGGAACGCGCTGCAGGAGCAGCTCATCCAGTTCGTGGTGGACAGGGAAGGATTCGTCAGGGACCACGGCACCGAAGAGAACTGGTGCCTGCCCCTGCTGCTCAAGGCCGTCAAGGAGATCATCCAGACGCTAGTGCCGGCGCGGGACAGGGAGTTCCTGAACGAGGGGCTGAACGTGGACCTGCTGATGCAGCAGTTCAACCGCGGAATCGCCGACCTGGAGAAGCTGGCGCAGTGGCTCGCGTCGGTGCTCAAGCTGCACTGCGCGCCTATGAGGGACGAGTGGGTGGACGAGATGTACAACAAGCTGAGCCGGGGGAACCGCGACAACGACATGGGCGAGCTCGTCAAGGGCATGTGCAGCCTGCTCGGCGTCCTCGAGGCCATGAAGCTCGACGTGGCCAACCACCAGATCCGGTGCCTGCGCCCGCACCTCATCGAGGACACGGTCCTGTTCGAGCAGCGCTTCTTCTGCAAGAAGATCCAGAGCGGGCGGCTCGACATCCGCCCGGCCAAGCAGTGGTACAGCCTGGCGCTGTCGTCGTCGTCGTCGGCGGCGGCGGCGCCGACGCGCGACCCGGCCTTTGGCGATGCCGCGCCCTTCTTCCGGGCGCTGGCCGCCCTCGTTATGCCCTCGGCCGAGAGCACCGCCGTGCCCAGCACCTTCCTCTTCGACGAGGAGCGCCTGCTCAAGCTGCGGTCCGACATGTGCGACGCCATCAACCTCGAGGTCTGCATGCGCGTCTTCGAGCAGGCAGAGAGCCTCCTGCGGGCGACGGCCTCGCTCTCCATCCCCTCGTACATCGACGAGGAGCGCCACTCGCTCCGCTCCAGCACCACCTCGTCCTCGTCGGACGAGTTCAACTTCAACGCGCCCATCTCGCGGCCCTCGAGCCTCGCCCTCAGCTCCACATCCCCCTGCTCCTCCCCGCGCACCTCGGCCTGCTTCCTCTCCACGGCCCACCACCACTACAGCCCGCACCACCACCAGCACGACGAGTCCGCCGGCAAGGCCCGCTCCTCGCGGACCGTCTACGCCTCGCTCCTCGCCCTCCTGCACACGGCGCCGCCGGCCTCGTCCAAGCAGCGCTGGCAGGCCCTCTCGCCCGCCATCTCGCTCGAGATCTTCCGCCACCTCGGCGCCCCGGCCTCCTTCCTGCGCAACATCGAGGAGGCCCTCGACAAGAACCTGTGCCACAACAACAGCAGCGGCAGCTCGAGGACGGCAGACGCCGACAGCGCCCCCTTGCTGCGCGACGTCGAGCGCCACTTCCACGCGCGCCTCGTCGCCGAGGCGGGCCGCCGCGTGCGCGACCTGCGCGACCTGTCGGGCGTGGACCTCTTCACCGTCGCCACGGGCGGCCGCGTCGCTGCCGCCGCCGCCGCCGCCACCGCCAGCAGCTCTTCATCCTCGTCGTCGTCGTCGTCGTCGTCGCGCGCCCCCTCGTGGAACGTGTCGCCCGCGGCGGCGGCGGCGGCCCGGGAGCGCGAGCTCAGCAGCGAAGGGCGCGACGCGCGCGAGGACGGCGGCGTCGAGGACATGGCCATGCGGCTGGCGCACCTGGGCCTGCTGCACTGGCGGGTCTGGGGCGAGCTCGTCTACATCCCGACCGAGGAGGCGCGGGCGGCAGCTGGCGCCGCGCAGCAGTAAAGCACCAGAACAAACAAGAGGAGAGACTGGCGCTTCTTCAATGGCACGAAAAGGGGCGGCGGGGGCTCGAGAGCCGAGAGAACTCTCCTTGTCTCTGTTACACACCTTTCTTCCGACTTTTTTTTCCTGATCGTTCTAGAATACCCCCCCGATACCATACCAACACACACCACCTATCGTCGTTTTTGTAATAATCACACTTTTCCCGCCCGCCGAAACGAAACCATTGCATATCAGATTTTTTGTCTCCTCTTCCACCCCTAACTCCCTCTCTCTTTCTCTCTCTCTCTCTCTCTCTCTCTCTGCAGCAAAACCATATCCGGCCGGGTGTTTTTCTTGTTTTCTTGTCTTTACTACCAATGGGCGAAGAGAAGGAAATACCACTTGCATTTTTTCCCTTTCCCAAGTCGGCGTTCTTTTCTTTTTTTTTATCCAGGCCACGGGAGGAACACAAGCACACCAGCGACAGCAACCTGCTGTCAGTATTTGCATTTATCGTCTTCGCGGGAGAAGAAGAAGAAGAAGAAAGACGAAGAGAGAAGGAGGAAGGCGGGGCATTTTGCATCTTCAGCAGCCTTGCGTTCTTGATTTTTTCTCTTACTGCTGGGTGGGTTCCTCGACGGGGTTTACCGTTTGCATTGCCTTGCTGCTGCTGCCTTTGTAAAGTGGGTTGTTCCTTTTTTTTTTTTCTTTTTTCGGTTGCTGCCCCTATTACATGCTAGACAAGAGGGTGCTTTCTTGATATCCAGCTAGCTATTGCTACAATACAAAGTTTGAAATGCTTCAAATCACTTTCGAGAAACGTCCTTCGTGCATGTGTCGACAAAAACGAATCTGTTTGATTGTGGAGAGCAGCCCGGGTCGAGGCGATGAACAGAAGGGGGGGGTTTATACTCGCGGAAAGATCCGTTTCAGGAATGGGTCTCCGTTGCAAATGCCCTCTACGAGTTGAGCGCAGATTATATCCTTCCGTGCGCCGCTTCCTCCGTGGGACGAGAGAAGGAATTGCACTCGGAGTCCAGGGATCCTGCCATATGTGAGCAGGTATTGATTGACTGGGCGACATTGGACTACATCAATTGAACATAGTAAAACAGGTCGCATGATGACCCCCAAAACAAAGGGGCGTACTATTTATAACATCTATTTATGGTACACGAGAGGTCGCCGAGAGATTAACAGATTATAGGCGAAGCGTTGCTTAGAGCCTCGTGCTATCTCTTTCCCCCTTCGAATACACCGTCTTAACCCAAATACTCCTTCAGCTCCTCCGACTCCTCCAACTGCGTCGTAAACGAGAACGGCGCGAAGGGCCAGCCGCCGAACTCGGCAAATTTGGAGAAGGACTCGACCCAAGCGAGACGGAGAGCTGCACAGTTGCGCATTACATTAGCATCATGATCTCGGTTCTGAAAATATCGGAGGGGGGATGGGGAAGACCTACAGTGAAGCATGGCAGAAACACCCTCCATGATGATGAGAATGACGCAGGAAAGGAAGAAGAAGGCAAAGAATGCAACGACAAGGAAGATGGCGCCGCCGATGCCCGACATCTTGAACGCCGGGGCCAGGGTCATGGACCACAGCACGGCACTGAGCTGCTGATGGGCCAGGGACAGAGCCCAGAGACGCAGGTAGGAGGCGGTGTGGGAGACACAGTTCAGACAGAACTCGATCGTGTGGATGATCTGGTGGATCATGACCTCGCTGAACTCGAACTCCTCGTGCTCATCATCGCCGAGGTCCTGGGTGATCATGGCGACGCCCTCGCCGTCGCTTTCCATGCTAAGGCGTCCATTGCCAACATGTCCGTCGTCATCGTCGTCACCGTCAAGGGCGCTGACCCGGGAGCGCTCGCCAATGCCGCGGTAGCCTTGGCCACGCGCCCGATTATGCTCACGGCGGAGCCAGAACGGCTTGAGGAAGAGCAGAATGGGAACCTGGGCAAAAGCCAAGAGGAGCAGGATCACCTGCACAGTCGCCTGGCCCCGGTAAAGCTGCACATCCAGAGTTCCCGGCTGGAGGAACATGTAAATGAGCATGTTGAGCAATCCAGGGGGGGCAGATGCAGGACCCTCCGCCGGATACCAGTCCACACACCACTTGTAAATGATGCAGAGAACAAGGTAGCCAAAGATAGACTGGAAGAAGATCATGCCGGGCACGAAGTTGCCCCAGATATCAACAGGACGCTTGAAATGCCTCGCGTTGATATAAGAGAAGCAGAGCGAGTAGGTCATGTGCGCCCAACCGAGAATGATACTCATCTTCATCTTGTAACTGTTGCTAAAGAGAAGATCGTTCTCGGTGTCGTGCCACATCCAATCCAGACCAAAGGGGTAGCGGTAGTTGCCCTTCAGCTTGGCAGAGACAATCTTACCAGGTACCCAGTCCTCTGGAGCATCCCATTGCCATGCGCTGGGGAAGAGGGTCAAGGACTTGGAGAAGGCATCGTTGTAAATCAGACCGGTGTACATGGAGAAGACAGCCATGACAAGAGCGATGTACCGGCCGTAGTAGATCATGGCGAAAAGCTCAAAAGTGACCTTCTTCAGCGGTTTCTCCCAATAAATCATGGCAACCGAGGCGCAAAACATGATGACGGCGTGACCGAAATCACCAAACATAACAGCGAAGAGGAAGGGGAAGGTCACGATGACGGGCAGTGCCGGGTTGACTTCCTGGTAGGTCGCAGTACCATAAGCGTTGACAATGGTCTGGAACGCCTCCGTAAACTTGTTGGTCTTGAGGTATGTTGGAGGGGTCTTGTTGGTCTTGATCTCGTTGATGATGGATGGAACAGAGAGACCGGCCCTGTTGGTCACATCTTGAAGGGTTGTCCGAATGAGAGGCAGATCATGGGTCGGGCACCATCCCTCGGCAATCAAGGTGCGACGGGCCCTGTCGTATGAGAAGAGGTTCAAGGTATTGTAGACGGCCTTCTCCTTGCTGATCAAGATCATCCAGGCAGCCAGAGACTGCGAAATCAGGGACAGCTCGGCGTTGAGGGTCTGCTGGGTGTTCCTCAGAACATTCTGGACGTCGTTGAGCCGAGCATTCACCTCATGCAGCTGGTCCCTTCGCAGATCGCTGTTCTCGTCGACGTTGTAGACCTCAGCGCCCATGGACTCAGAGATCTTCCTAATCTTGGCCAGGATTTCTTTGCCGTGAGCAAAGATGACGAACACATTCTTCTGGATTGGCTCGTTGTTGGTCGGGTCGATCAACGGCTCGGGGATCTCGGACTGGTTCATGTACAGGTTTCCGCGCAGCGTTCGCCATAGGATGCGCTCGAAGGCGCCCACACGGTCCCGCGAAATAACACCGGCGACAAAACCAATGTTCATGCCCGAGAATGAGCGCTCGACTTCGGGGGACTGGTAGTGCTGCTCGACGTCGTTGAGCAGAGGAGCGTCGTCCTCTTCGGTCGAGGCTCGAATCTCCTCCACGTTGCCGTGAGCGCGGTCGAAGAAGCTGCCGGCCTCCCGCAGGACCCATCGCCACTCGGTGAGCTCGACCTCGCGCTTCTTCAATGTCTCGTAGCTGTCATTAAGCTGGAACACGCGCTGCTCGAGACTCTGGCTTCGCTCGGCCAGCTCATCAATCTCGGTCGTCGTCGGCGGGGCGAGAGATTCGACGTCGAGATCTAGCTTTCGGAGCTGGATCCCGGCTTTGTCCATCTGAGAGTGGAAGTACCCTAAAGGTATGTGAGTAACTGGACAAGGGCTGAGTGCAGGTGATACTCGGACTGGGACGTACGCAGCTGCCGTTCGACATTATCGAGGCGTCGGATCTCCTGAGTGAAGGCTCTCTGGAAAGCGCTAACATCTCCATTAAGCTGCCCGATAGTCAGTATCTCAGTTTCTCAAAACTTGTATCCTGTCGGCGATGGAGGGAGGCTCACATCGCGAAACTGGACCAGCCCAATCTCGCCGAGGGCGTTGACGACCTCTCTGCCAATCTCGTTGGAAATATACAGCTGGACCATACTCATGTCCGCCGAGCGGAACGGAGTATCGCGTGTCGGAGCCATCCTGTCCGCTCCTATGCTCTGAAAGCTCCAGAAGCTACACGCGTTTGTCGAAAAGGATTGGATGGCCTTGGAAGTGATTCAAGAACCGAAGCTTCGGACAGGGAGGAAGCTCCAGGTGTTGCCTTCCCACAGTCAGCGGGTCTCAAGTACTAGTGCCTGAGGCATAAATATTCGGCGGACCCGTAGTACGTAATGTCTGTTGTAGGTGGGCTCCAGCCACACTGAAACAGCTCTGGCTGTGGCGCTCTCCAGCGCCCCGGTTGGCTCTTCTTAGGCGTATTCACAAGGCATCCTCCCAGAATCATGCATCATGTAATTACACAGTTACTTGTGATATTTAGGGGTGTTTCCTGACGTGACAAGTGTGCCCCTCCTCCACGCTGAGAACAAATTTCTTCATGAACTGATGAATAACAACGACGCCCCGTCCACCAGAGTATGAAGCCGTATCCTCGACCGAATGCCCGGCCCAGCCAAAAAAATGCCCTCGCTAAGCTGATAAGGGAAACTCTTCGCTGCAAAGTGATGAAAAGGGCTTCTTTACCCCTGCCGGGGACTATCATGACATCATGCTGAAAAATAAGTTGTAAGTGAAAACGTCGTTGCTCTTTTTTTTTGTCCCTCTGTTTTCTCTGTTGCACAGAGCCTCCGACTGAACGCGGCCAAACTCCCAGCAAATGCTTTTGTTGATAATCCAATTGCTCCCAGTACGCCGTGCTTGCTTTCGCTGTGAAAATGTTTGATAATAGTGCAAGGGGATCCGCCGGTCCCATTTTGCTGAAAGAATCCCGAATGCTTGGTCCAGTAGTTCGGAACAAGAGATATTAGTCGCCAGTGGTGCATTTGTTCCAAAGTTACAGTTGGCGCCCAAACATGAAGGACCCATACATGCCTCCGACCTCGGCGACGGTTACGGGGACCTTGCGCATGCCCCAGTACTGGGCGCCCATCTTCCAGGGGCGACGACCGTCGTCGCGCATCGGCTCGTTAGGATCATGGTTCCTGACAAGCCAGGATCGGACATGGAGGTCGGAAATGCGCCAGCCGGCCCTGCCAATGGCGCCTGGGGACTTGCGGAGGCGCTTGAATGCATCGTCTGCAAGCTCGATAACCTCCAGGGGTTCCGTGTATCTCTTCAGTAGACAGCTCACGTTGTAGAGGATAGTCAAGTCGAGTTCGTTGCCCCACATGTCAGTGAGGTCCAGGTACTTGATCGTATGCGGCACCCACTCCACCTGCTCCTCTACAGGCTTCGACTCATCGGGGATGAAGAGCCTATCCACATCCTGCAGCTTCAGCGACCGGCCCAAGGCCAGCTCCTCCAAGTGCTTCGTCAATGGGAGGAGCAGATCGATGTGGCTCGCATTCATTTTGCTACCCTTCAAGCTCAGCGACTTGAGCGTCTTTGGCAAAAGCGGGATCAGCGTGGTGACGTCGCTGGCAGAGAGCAGCTCATGGCTTCTTGCGTCGCTGGCGAGGCTCAGAAACACAAGTTGCTTGGCGGCAGGATGGTTCTGGATAAAGTCAATGACGTTGTCGGCAGACAATGCATTGCACTTGGCCAGATTAAGATGAGTCAACTTGGCGGTGTGCGGGATCGACTGGAGGGCTTTGTTAGAGAGCCTCGTACCGGCGACGTCCAGATGGGTGAGAAACTTGAGTCTGGGAAGGACCGCGTCGAGCACGCTCGAGGGAAGCGTCAGGCACTTGTGCAGGGAGAGGCGCTCGATCATGAGCGTCTCGGGTAGCGGCGCCGATGTGAGCTCCAGGAAGGAACTCTTGAAGGCTGTGGAGGAGCATCCGCAGAAGTCGAGGGCCCGGATCCGGTCAAGCCCAGTAAACAGCTTGCGTAGCACGTTGATGTCCAGCTCATCGTCAATGTACTCCTGTGCCATAAACTCCTGGAGGCAAGGGGTGAGCTGGAGGCACTGCAACAGCGTGTCTGGCGTCAGGTTTCGCGTCTGTAGGCGCTCCCTGGCCGTGCTGAATAGGGAGGAGGGGTTGAAGTGGGAGAAATCAAGCCGCCGTACGATCGTGCCTAGCGCGGGATACGCCGTGATATTCACGAGGAACTTGTGGAAGATTCTCGAGTGGGGAATGGTGACCTTGGTGTAGAGCGTGTTCAAGGTGGCGGTGTGCATGGTCTTGGACGTGAGGAGACACGACATGAGGTCGACATTGCGCCGTTCAATGCCATTGGGCGGGATGTCAAGCTCAAGAAAACCGATGATGTTGTCTAGCAGTGTTGCAGTCAGCCAAACTGCCCCCCCAAAAAATGCCCGTTTCGCAGCACCGTCGACTCTGCAGTGACAGAGAGAGGAGGGGGAGAACACAACTCACTTAGAATTTCGATCGGAAGCACCTCGATAATGGCTTCACCGGGGGCGGCCCGACCTCTGACCCGAGGTGGGCTGGGCGCCGGCTTCCACGCATTGTTTAATATCTGGAGATCACCAAAGCTCTTGCTCGCGAGCTTACCCTTCACGTTGATGCCCTTCCAGCCCTTGAAGGAGTCCGGCGGGGCCCAGTAGCCATGAAGTCTGCTCGACGGCTGAGTGATGGGAGGTGCGAACTGTGTCTGCGTTGCCAACATAGTATCCTCGTCGGCGGACGAGTCGTCAATGGCGTGTTCGAGTGGTGTGTTGTATGAGGAGATCTTGGACGAGGTAAAGGTCTGGGCAAGATCGTCGTCGCGTTCGCGGATAGAAGAGAAGGAGGATCTACCAAGCCTCTCTGGTGTGTTAGATCGTCGAGTGTCTGTAGCGGAAGCCATGTTCTTGTGGTGGTCGGTAGGGGGAGACCCGGGCTTTTGTTGTACCAAAGCCCCCTGCAGCTGCTTGTCCATTGAGACGGGAAGGCGACAGGAGGTTCCTAAGGTATGGTTCGGCACCGGGGGGGTGTGTGTGTTGTTTTTTTTGCTGCACTAGGCACAACTGGTGTGATGCGGAGCGATGCCGCGCCCGCCCCAGGCTTTGCAAGGTGTGCGGTCCCAAAGGCAGGACGGCCGGGGGTATCACGAAAAGTAAAGAAAGGCGAACGGCTACCTTTCTATTAGTCAAAGAGTGGAAAAGTTAGGTAAAGGCAACGTCTTGGGATGCGGGGAAGCACCACGAGAAATGGACCTGGGTGCCCTGGTGGTGACACGACTCGAGTGCTGCTGTCTTGTTTTTGCTATTCGTCTTTTTGCCTGTCTATCGTCTGGCGGTGGTGTAGTCGACAACAAGAAAAAAAGATTGTCGCGAAAAGGTGCGGGCAGACAAGTCAGTCAACAGGACGATTCACCAGGATGCGACCGCGTGACAACAGTAGGAACGGCACATCTCTCTCCTTGCATGAGAAAACATCGTGTGATGGATTTAACGGATCTTGTATTTTTTTAATGGCCACCGGACCCGGGGCCAGGAAGGCGACTTGGGCGAGAGTCGAGCGAAGCAGGAGCGCATAGCCCATGCTTGGTGTTGCTTGGGATTGAGTAATAGAAATCGAAGAATGGGTATTTTCCCTGTCAGGTGGACAAAAAGAAGGCACCAGCGCAGAGGTTCCAGGCTTAAATTTGCATCCCCTGTCAGGTACCGGATTCCTCGCATGGGTGATACGATGACCTAAGATGAATGGGCGAGTTCCGAGTCGGGGGCTGTCTCTTTGTACCCCGACACTGCCGACCACCGCCGTCGGCGGCTACGAAGGGGCTAGCCAAAAGCAACACCAGGCATTGGGCTGGCCTGCCAGTCCCGGCCTAGGATTGGCACCAGAAACGATGGGTCCATTGAGTTGGGATTGAGTAATGGAAAATCCTCCATGAGACCCTCGCCTCTTGGAATGGCGGATGGTGGAGGGGCAGAAATGCTGAACCGCAACCGATTCGAGTACCATCCAACCATCGACCACACACACCGGCCAGAAAGGAAGACGAAAATTTGTTATTTTCACAGCGGGAGGTGGAGAACTGAAGGTTGATCGGTGATCAACCGACGCTCAATCATGACTTCCCCAAAAAAGAGACTCTTGCCCAGGCTGGGCGGTCCACAAGATGTTGGTCGTCTTTCCTGATAATACGGAGCACGTTGTATGTAGAACGGCTGCGGATGAGCCCCGTGCCTCGTCAGACCATGCCAGACATACTAAGCGGTGTCACCTGGTTGGGAGCGCCTCATCCATCGCATCGTGTTACGCGGGAGCGGGGACACGAAACAGGTAAGACGAGTAGCACTCCAACAAGCAAACATGCGCAAAGATCATCTCCGAGGGAAGGCGACCAGCGGGCGCCAAGAGCCGACTTTCCACACATGCCGACCGAGTACCTGCACCAGTCTGGTCTCTTCTTGCTCCCGTCGCAATTTACCACCAGGCGCAGCATGAACCATAGCGTCCGACGTCAAGTCACGTAATAAGTGTGTAATGGACACGAGATGGAGGTTTGCCAATTAACCAGACTGGGCGCAAGAGATATGATGTGACGATAGCCGGCATGGAAGCGAGCAAGGCGCGACGGCGGGGAGAAATGACGGGATGCAACTCAAACGCAGGAATCTGATCGACCAACCACTGAACTATGACCCAGCAATGCATCACAGGCTCATGGCAGCCCTCCTGTAACGGATTCGCCATAGCACCATACCATCACATTGTTGGATGAGAACAGGTACACCGACATGAACCCTTCCACTTTCACAGCTGCGAGATCCCTTACGGACGGCGGCTAGCTACGGGGCTCCGAACTCTGGTCGGTGCTCTAACTTCTAAGGGAGGATACTAAGATACCATGGATCTGGCCAACGGAGTAGGTCCGACTCCTTCATCTACAAACGGACCGCGAAGCCAGCTGCTCGATTCGCTCGGAGCAAGGACATGCAGTTCGACGGTCCAGGTGTGAATAATGCAATGAGGGTGATTGGAAGCACTCTTTTTCGTTCCCCTCCCTGCCTCTCTCTGACCAGAGACGATGTCTGTCCGGCATCGTCAATCTCCGTCCGCCACTCCCGTTCCCCAACCCTTTTGTCATGTCCAAAGCCTCCCAAGGTTCACGTGGCCCCCGGTCATGGGGTTCTTGCGACCACTAGTCCCCCTAGGACGCGCGCCGCGCCAAAAACCCCTGCCCATGCGCCGGTTCGTAGCGGCGGCTGGAGACGGACCCCTGGGAGCTTGACCGACAGTGGGCAGGGAAAAAAAGGAACAGGCCAAGTCGGCCAGACCGCTCTGTAGCGGCATGGTAGCAGAGAGCCCGGAAGGCATGGTAAGCTTTCGCCATTCCCAGCCTAGCGCCATGCCTACCCCACAGTTCATGGACAAGGAGGGCACGTCATGCCCCTGTTTCCCCCTTCAGCTAATGGACATGGATCTAATCTAATTGTACAACAAATGCAACTGCATCTCGTCCTACGAAGCAGAGATGCTTGACTTGGCCTGGCGTTCCTGGCTTGCCCGTCTCATTGAGCATGCAGGTGGCCTATCATAGGGCATTCGTTCATTCACTAGCCCCTCGATTGGTATGCCCGGAATGCCATGCTGTGTTGTGACTTTCAACCGCCAAACCGCATCTGTAGGCCCGGCAAGGTCAGCGCAGCAAGATACCAGTGACAAGATGTTTCGAGGTCAAATCGTCTGCCCTATATTTCGTACACCTATCACCAGAACATCATAGCTTGATGTCCTACATCAAGGCCTAATCTACCTATGGTTGCCTACCTGTTTCTCAAGCACAGCTAACCATGATTTCGCTAGGCTTTTCTAAGCCGATTATCAAGGTATCCTAGTATTCTCCTCCTTATCACTGCCAACTCCAACCAGAAGGCTCGACTCTTCCGGTGTCAAGGCTTTTCGTTACGCCGTTGAGATGATGCCCAGATCAAAACGCCTTTGAGAAAATGACTTTGAGAAACCGCTTCATAACGCCGCCAGATATGTACTAATAGTGAGCCACCATGAGTGAGGTCTGTCAAGACAAGACGCCGGCGAGGAGTACGCCTCATTCATCGCACACTCGATTTGCGGTCCCCAATCTTGAGCCGCTTCTTGCAGTCTTCACAGTACCATTTCGCTAAATATATGGTCAGCACTTACGATATCGTCTTTGGGAAAAAGGGGGGTTAACCTGGAGGAAGCACTTACTATTACCCTTGGGCGCAACCTTCAGCCCGACACACTCCAGATGGAACCACTCCTTGGCACAGTCATCCGCATCGCACGCAATCATCTCGCCGTAGCTCACGCCGTTGCAGTAACAGTATAGGGGGTCTTCCTCATCATCCTCCTCTTGACGGCTACTGCTGGCGCTCTCGTCAGCAAGCTGGGCTGCAAGGGCCTGTGCTGCAGCGGCCGCAGATGCGCCTTTCTTGTGGCTCCTCTTGGGGGCGGCGCCATTCTCTCCGCTCCTCGAGGGACGGGACCGGGAGGCCTCGGCGAATGTCGCCAGCGCCGGCGTGGATGGCTTGCTGGCCCTCCCGCTTTTGGTTGTGACAGTCTGCGCAGTCGGTACTGTGGGGGTGGGCTCCTTCTTCGTCTCAACTTCGTCAACCTTCGCAGGCGCCTCCTTCTTTTCGTTAGGCGGGTTCACGGGAGGCTTTGGTGCCGGCGGCTCGATTTCGGGTTTGGGCTCATCGACTTTGGGAGCAGCACTGATCTCCTTAGCCACTTTGTTCTCGCTCGCAGCACGGCTACCGTTAGGTGCAAGTTCTGGGAGTATGGAACCATTGCCATTCGGTTTGTTGGAGGCTGCCGAAGATGGCCGTTGTCGCGCAACATCAACATTCGATTGCGTAGAGTTTTGCCTAGCTCGGGACGAAGCTGGCCTTCCGGTAGCAGAGGGTGCCGGCGAAGCTCGTCCAACAGGCGCCTTGTCGGGGAAAGCGCCGATAACGGGAGAAGATGTCGCAGAAGGGGTTGTGGCGGGAGGGTTTCTGTCGTTCCCAATGTCAGTTTGGCTTGGCTTCTCCTGCGTATCACAGAGTATTCGTGTTGTGCATACCTTTTCTTGGCCTGATTTCCACTGGTCGGGAGGGCCTTGCGCTTCTTTGGAGCGCCGTCGGGAGCAGGTGTTGAGCGTGGGCTGTTGGGCTTAGCTTTGGCTGCGTTGTTACCAAACACGGTGCTCAAGGCCTTGTCTGCGGGCCCATTGCCATTGGTAGTCTTCTCAACCTTGCGACGTTTCGGAGCTGGATTGGGCTCGGCATTCGTGTTATGAGACCCGGGGCCAGCAGTCGCTGCGCTTGACTGCGCAGGAGCTTTCCGCGATTTGCTCGTCCCGGATTTCTTGGCCCCATCGCCCTTTTGTTTACCGTCGTGATCATCGAAGTCTGAATCCTGATGCTGCTGGTTCTTGATGCCCCTCTTGGCAGCCACAGCTTGTTTCCTCGCATCGCTGCGTGCGGCAGCTTCCTCGGCTATCGCTTGCGCAGCGGCGGATAGACTGGCCGCGCCCTCGCGGCGTGAGCGCTCGGTCTGAGCATTGCTTGCGCGAGCAGCTCGGTTCTCAGCATAGGCCCAATGTGTAATACTCCCCCACTTCGCCTCGTCGCTGAACTCGTCCATCAGGAACGGCCAGACCTCGTCAATCCGACCGAGCTGCTTATGAAGAGCTTCGTTCGCCGTGGAAATGACGTGATTCTTCTCTTCAAGCGCTACTAGCATTTCTTTGATGTCAAACGCTGCTTGTCGGAATAGCTGCCGACGCGGCAAGTTGCTGAGGTCGAAAACAGACGGGTTGGTTTGTTCCTCGATCAGTGCACCCGGAGGAAGAGGCACTCCGGTGGAGCTATTTTGAACACTCATTGGAGCTGATGCTGGCGCGATGCTGCTTGCACCATCATTGACTGGCCGCGATGGATCGGGGGTTGGTGCGCTGAGGGCCGCGTCGACAAGCTGGAACAGTCCTTGTTCGGGCAAGTGGACCTTGGCATCGACCTCCTTCAAGAGCGTAAAGTGCTTAACCAGCTCTTTCGGGAGAGCCGTAATAGCATCGGCGAAGTGTGTAACAGCAGGGAAGATCTCGATGGGCTGGTCGTGCGCAGGGCCGCCAGCGAGCGAGTCCCTCGAGTAGCTTCGATTCAAGCCGGCTGTCGTTCGCGGCGGATTCGTTCTAGTCTGGCGCACAGGCTGCGATCTACGGCTCGAAGAAGCCTCAGTGCCCGCAGCAGGCGGCTTTGCCGTCTTCATCGTGAGGGGGGCTATGGGGTGGAGGAAGTGTCGAGGAGAAAAACCCGGGAAGACGCGACCGTGGATTCGTGAGTCGCAAGGTGGGTTTGAAGGCGAGGTGTTGCGAACCGACTCGAATGAGTCTCGGACAAAGATGAAGTCAAGGGCACCTCAAACAAGTATGGATCCCTCGGGTCCCATCCCTCTCTGCAAGTCTTGATCGGAGCGCGAGTGGCATGAGAAGGGGAAAAAGCAGGTGCTGCGGAGGGCGATTGTGAGCTTGCGAGATCTGCCGGTTACTTTGGGGCGGCCCCTGCTGCTGCTAATAAACCACCCAGTGCGGTCGGTGCCAGATGCGCTGGTCGCGCCAGCATTGATGCGCTGACCAGTCATGCACTGACATTTGATGCAAACTCCGCACTCGGACCGATGTTGTTCCCCCAAACAGGGCCGATAACGTCATTGATAACAGATAAGATAAAGAAAGTCAATTTATCTCGGAGCTTTTTGACCAGACCAGACTCAAAGTCAACACTCCAGAATATAGGCCTCCTTCATGTCATTGGAAACCTGTTCATGGAAATCCGAGCAAAATTTGCGAAGCATAGAGAAATCTTCCGGCTCGGCTCTGTGCACTACCACTACACCTCCTTGTGACAACGGCCCCGGAACACCACTCCAGGTGTGAAATTGTGCACAGCTATCTACGTATTCTATGAATCCCATGGCTCGCTGGCTGGCTGTAATCAGTCTTGAATGAGAACACTTGGTCTAAAAGAGCAATCCTTGAGACACTATTGAGGTATTCGATGTGAGAATTGAGGATGACGTCCTTAGGGCTGCTTCTTAAGATGCCGCCGCGGCTTCTCATCCCTTGCCTTCTGCTTTTGCCGCCACTGCCACTCTACCAGGACCGGCAGGAATTGCCAAAGGTCAAACTCCGGCCAGAAACACTTGAGGAAGAAAATCTGGGTATCTTGGTGGCACTGCCATAACATGAAGTCGCTAAGTCGTTCCACACCACTAGTCCTGACAAAGATGTCCAAGGGTGGGTTGCCAGAGGTGTACATGTGGTTGTCAAGGGTATCCGTGGTGATGTTCTCCGGATTCGGATATATGGTAATGTTGTGTGCCGCCCCAGTTCGCGAGGGTGGCGAGTCGGTCGTTGGTAGCGTCGTAGAGGATGAGACAGAGTCATCCACATCTTCTGATCTTGACGAGGACGGCGTAGGGGAGCCTTCACGGATGGTAGACAAGGACTCTGTTCCATCGGCCTGCTTGGAGAGGATCTTTTGCTTGATGCGGGTCTGCGAGAACGGCGTATTTTGGGGACGCGGCGGCATTGAGTACTCTTGTACAGTCGCACGTATAGACTGGGTGATCTCCTCCCGGGAGGTATAGGGGAAACATATGTTAAGAACACAGCTGTTGGCTTGATGTCAGTATTTCCAGTGACCCAGGGCTATGAGTCGCACGCACTTCTTGTTGTTCTTGGTGTTTTCTTCGGCGCGCTCAACAACTTCCAGCACGTCGGCACGGATCAGATCCTTCTGTCCAAGAATGCACACCCTGGCACCATATCGCTCTAGCAGCTCATCGTGTTGCGTCAGCTGCTCGAGCTTGGCCCTCGCCAGCTCCATAAGCCCGTCGACTTCGTATTTGGGTCGGTTGAAGTTCTCAATGCTGAATGCGTAGACTGTGACCACCTTGACACCGCATTTGTAGCATATTTCGAGCACCTACTCCTTGGTCAGCTCTACCCACGATTGTTTCCTGCAGTTCTCCTCCACTCACCCTCGCGAGAGCCTCAAAACCCAGGTGATGCCCTTCTATGGTTTCAATCTTGTGACTCCGTGCATATCGCCGGTTGCCATCCATCTCAAATGCTACATGCCGCGGGATGGGTCCTTGGGAGAGAGCGCCGATGATAAGCTCGCGCAGCTGGTTGAGGGCCCATTCTGCCGGCGGCGAGCTGAAGAACCAGTTGCGTATGCGGGGAAAGTAGAGACTCGTCATATCGACGGATCTACCAGGTTGTCTAGTCTCGATGAAAATAGAGGCGAGGCAATCGAACCAACATAGGTAATCGCGAATCAAGGAGAAATATTTGCGGCGGGAATGATCGTTGGAAGGTAGAGCGAGCGGCACGCGGTCTGTCCCATGCAGATCTAAATCGCAATAACGGACTATCGATATAATGAACCTCTAAGCACGAGAACGAGAGAAAGTGAGGGATTGATGATGCTGCTCAGCTCGCCACCTGTCGTCAACTAGTGGCACGTCACAGTTGAGGCTGGGGAGTTCAGTCTGGTCAGCGCGAGGTGGGTCCGCAAGTGGTACGGCGTGGTCCACCCGCCCGGCCTTCACAGGCCAAATACGCAATTAGCATCACCAGCCGGAAGTGTACACCTTGCAAGCTGGGCCCGCCACTTCAACTCCCTCTGCGAGCGCTGTGTCTGAGGAACATTGCGAAACTGGGCCAAAGCCTACTACTGCAAGCCGAGCTACTCAGTATAATATTCCAACACAACACCGGGTGCCAGACCCCGCAAAGCTCCAGGCCGGATCGCATCTCGCCTATTGCGGCGCCCATTATGCGCACAAGATAGCTCCAAAGCTCTCACGGGAAATCGACCGGGCAAGATGTCTTTCACAAATGCACCGGTCACACGCAGCCTTGTTCTAGGCTTGGTAGCGTCTTCCATCGCAGTCAGCCTGTTCGATGTCAAGCATTACTTCTACATCCTCATCGATCCACACATATTGCGCTATCATCAGACATGGCGGGTTTTGATATATCAGCTCTCCTACACCAATTCAACAGAAGTGCTGTTCGCAGCAATAACGCTCTACAACATGAGGATCATCGAGAGGTTCTGGGGTTCTAGGAAATATGCTGTAGGCCCCCCCTTCAAGCCCTTGACTTACAAACGTTCCAGGGGCAGAATACTGATAGCACTCAAGTCATTTATCGTCGTTTCGGCATTCCTGACGACACTGTTTCCACCAGCCATCATATTCCTCCTACGGGCAATGACATTCCGGCTCGATGCCTTCAACTATCTTCCGGCTGGTCCGACGCCCATCATCTTTGCCCTTCTGGCTCAATATCATGCCATGGTGCCGCATATCTACAACTACCGGCTAGCGTTTTCAGCCGCTCCCCCGACGAACGACGACTTTGTCGGGCTCACATTCTCCGACAAGTCGTACCGCTATCTACTTGCTGTCCAGTTGGCACTGTTTCAGTGGCCAGGCTCGCTGGTCAGCGCCGCCGTGGGGTGGGTTGTCGGCTACTCGTGGAGGAACGATCTACTACCCGGGTCACTCATACGGTGGCGTGTGCCGGGCTGGGTAGTGGGCTTACGGCCAACAAAGAGGAGTCAAGAGTTTGAAGGCTTGAGGCGGAGATTGGAAGGGGAGAATTCCGCCGCTTCGACGGGCACTCAGCAGCGTCAGGGCGACGGAGATGCGACCAGGCGGCGGACATTGGGCCAACAGGTCATAGACCAGTTTAGAGGGCCGCTGTGACGGCGGAAGGCATAGCACTTGGCCTCACTGTAGGATCTCCGATTAGATCATCATTGCCTTGCACAGAGCGCAGGCGAAAGCTCGCCTAGACACTATGATCACCTAATAGAGTCACTGGCGTTCCGATGAGAGGTCAAACGGCTCGATGACTGGTTGACTCAAGAAAGAAATCACTGGATGCCGGTCAGGAGCCGACGACTGTCCTGAACCTGGAAACCTTTGCAATTGTTCTATCTAGATGCGCGTTTAAGGCTCGTGTTGCATCCACGAACGCGATAACATGAGACTCCCACGCGCAAGCAGCCTCAACTCAAGTATTGATACTGGGGCGATAGTGTCTATGCTCACAGACAACTTGTCAGCTACCCAGACACGTGCCAGGAACAGACAGATACGACGGCATGTACTCCGTACGGTCAGCGCGACAATGGTGCAGGTGGATCCATGTCAGCGATCATCGAGGATGGGAAATTGCCTGGCGTTGAAAAATTGCGGCTGTGAACGCTAATCTCAATTTTGGAGGCAGCTTGCGCCAGCCTAATGCAAGTGTTGTCGCGTAGCAATTTGGGAGTAGAATAGATTCCAGGTCAAGCAGGCTTTGATGCACTGGAGGCCGCTGATTGCGGGATCTCTCAAAAGTCTCATGATGACCTGAAAAGGTACGAGGGCGGCAATACATCCGGTGATGTGTGCAGATTGGTACTTCATAAGGTAACCTATATGCAGTGCAATGACACCTCCCTATTGCCACACAGAGAGAGGATGGAGGATTTGGACCCCGGACTGACGGGCACGCGGGAGAGACCGCCCCTAATTGGCGACGGATGGAGCCTCCACGTTTAGGTACATTTTACCCTGTGCAAGCACCAAAAGGTACATTCCAGCGGCTGTATTTGGGGCCGGGCCTGCTGGAGACACACGCCGCAGCGTGGAATGCCCGCGGAATGGATGCGTAAAGGGAAAAGGGTAGCTTTGTCCCACTCCCCTCCGTTTTCGACAACCCCCGGCGATTCTGTGACGAATTTTGACGACAGCATTACTCCCCTGGATTCGAAGCCCATGATTGTCGAGCAGGCTTGCAAACCTCGAAACTAAGCACCTGCGACCGCGATACCGCCATTTACCAGACATTGCGTGCGTGTGACCAAACGTTTCCCTTGCCGAAGCTGTCGAGGGGGCTGCGACTTGCCCGATCCCCAAGAGCACCCGACAGATCTCGCGACTTCACCTGTCGAGTTCTGACCAACCACCCGAGACCAATCACCTTACCACCCAGGCAACGCTCTCGGCTGTTATAAGCCCTTAATGGCTGTGTCCACCAAAGAATCGGGTCCCTCCTTTTGAATAATGTCTTAACACACCTCAACGTTGGAGTTTTGGATTATCTGGCTATAACAAACGAAGCACAATGAACGGGGTTGGAACGAGGCAAGTGTACGGCTACGAGCCGGAGGACTATGCGCCTCTTCCGGCCATCGAGCCAAGCGGGAGACACATGGTGGAAGGATATCGTCAAGAAGTCATGGACGGATTCCAGGGAGACAAGCCGCTATACAACCCGGTAGGTGTAGGGAACCATCTCCTCTACAACCCTAGAGGACTAACTTTTCCGCTTCTAGTTGAACCCGGAACGGCCGCAGAGTTCGGCCCTCGTGGATTTGAAGGATTCAGTTCAGGTCCATCTGCTCACAGAGACCGCGCTAGCGGATAGCAAGGAGTTCGAGATCCTGTCACAGGAAGAGATCGATCACCTCAAGAAACAGTGTGTGTCACTGCAGCAGCGAATCGAACAGACGAGGGCGAACCTGGCTATCCAATCGAAGTATCGCGATGCTGCTCATTCAATGGCCAAGCTCTACTCTCCCCGCCAGTCCACCAACCGACACAGTCTCCTAGGCCATTTGCATAGCGGCAGTCAAGACGCGAAGGAGGCAGAGGCAGAAAGCCAAGCATGTGAACGGAGATGTGAAGAGCTGGCGTCGGAGCTCTTCCGACTGGAGAAGCGCATCATGGAGCCGCAACGCAAGATATTACAACACACAGCTGGTATCTTGCAGTTAACCCACAAGGCGTCGCGGAAACCGGTCCCCCCTCACCAAATGAACGGCATTCCCGGTAGTCCGGAGAGTCTGTACACATACTCAAACGGTCGTAATAGTATGGAACCTGTCATTGAGGACATGCAGATTGATGATAGGAGCCTCTATTTCCCAATCGATCAGGATCGTCAAAGGAATGCTATCGAAATTCCAGTCAAGTCACCTATTCGAAAGGAGACGAAGGAATTGCGAGAGGAGGCCGACCGCTTGAGGGACGAGATAGGACAGCTACGGGCTAGCAACGACTCTGCCAACCTTGAGCTGGAAGCGTTGCAGCGCGAGAGCTCTTCACAGCTCAGGGTCATCACAGAGACGGAGAAGAGGATGGCAGGCCTGAACCAGCAACTTCGAGATGTCATCGTCAAATTCAATCCCGCTCAGAATCAGGGCTACGCAAACCCCCCTTCCGGTCGCTCCGGCTCTGGCGAGCTCCTGAGCAGTCACTTGAGATATCTTGATGAGGGTCTGGCTGCTGTGCAAGGGTTCCAGGCCCAGGCCTCCTTTGGCAATGCATCCGACAGGCTCGCCAATATCAACCTGGACCTCCGCAACATACTACGGAATGCCAACCTCCCTTCGCCCCCTGATGCATCGCAAGCTGACATGGATCAACAACTTGATTGGCTTCAAAACTCATTACGCGCCATTGATTACGAGGTGTCCAACGCTAGTTCGTCCGCATCTCAGAAGCAGGATATGGACCAGGTCGAGAATGTCTTGACCGGCCTGTGGGAAGTCATCCAGTCTGGCTTTGCGAGCATTCAAAAGGAGAAGGAGGACCGTAGAGAAAAGCGAATGCAAATGGGCTTACCTGCAGATGATGACGACATGTCCGGGGACGAGTCTGTCGATACCGATGGGCCTTACTCCATTCAGGCATTCTCGACCAAGGTCCGGTGGCTGTACACCCAGACCACAAAGCTTAAAGAGCAGAAGTCGGTGCTGAAGCGCCAGATCAAGCAACAACGCGAACTGAACAACAAGTCTGACGCAGAGAAGGATCGTGAACTGCAGCAGAAGGCAGACGAGCTGGTCGAGACGCAAGCTCTTCTCGCCAAAGCAGAAATGGACGCGGTTAACGCTCAAGAGAAGCTGGCCGACGCCCTCAATAATCTCGAGTCGACACGCGAGGCCAGCTCTGCCAGCGAGGCCAAAGCCCTACAGCAGGCGGAAGAGCAGCTCAAGGAGCGCAACGCCAAGATCGCGACGCTCGAGAAGACCAGCAAGGATCTTCAAGCCCAGCTCGCAGGCGTCGAGTCCGATGTCGCGAGCCTCACGACCCAGCTCGACGAGGTGTCGGAAGCTAAGAAGTCGGCCGAGGCAGAGGCCGAGAAGCTCTCCACTGAGGCAAAGGCAAAGGACGCCGAGCTCGAAGATCTCAACGTGCAGCTTGTCGCGCTCAAGACAGAGGCCACCATCGCCAGGGCGGAGCTGGAGGGTGCCTACGGCTCTCGGGCCCAGCGCGCCGCCGACGTAGCGGCGCTGGCCAAGTCTTCCCAGAACCAGGAGCTGCAGGGACAGGTCGACAAGCTGCGCACCGAGCTCGCGAGCACGCTCAAGGAATTCGAAAGCCTGACCAAGGACACCATCTCAGCGGAGCGCGAAAAGCTCGAGCTCGAGGGCAAGCTGGACGACGCGCTCGCCGCCCGGTCATCAATCGAGTCCGAGGCGCGCGAGGTGCGGGAGAAGCTCGAGGCCGAGGTAGCGCGTCTCAAGGAGGAGCTCGACGGCGAGAAGCTCAAGGTGCCGCCGCCATCACCGACCGGCTCGTCGAGGGCCGGCGCGACGATGCTCAGCGAGCAGTTCAGGGCCACGATGAAGGAGGAGAGGAAGAAGTTCCAGGAAGAGCTCAGGGTAAGCTTTACTATGATTCCCCCTTCCACCCCAGTTCCGACGGTCAATCACGGCATGCTAACTCCTGGGCCCAGACCGAGCAAATGGCAAGGAGGAAACTCGAGGACGAAATTAGGGCACTCAAGCGAGCGGCGGGCCCAGGCAAGAGTCCGCTTAGCCCACGATCGTAACTTTTGACGAAGGAGACGTCAGCCACATGGGCATCCGGCATGAAACGATTATAGATACACGGGTTCACGTCCGTTCTCCTTTTTTTCTGGATATGTAAATTAAACCTCTGGATATAACGCATTGCGTATGAGGAGAGGAGTTTATTTTTGGTATTTGGTTTCAGCTTACCTAGGTACTTCATTACATTGGCATTACTACATTTATAGAGATTCATCACTCTCCAGTCATCTGTCTCTTGCCCATCGTAATGATGCTCATATTATTATCACAGGTTTGGGACGACCACGTTGACTCAAACATTTGGCCGCAGCACCGTGTTTATGCACCGACAACTCGTCCAACACAGGTCAACATAGCCTTTGTTGGACGCGTCTGAGAAGCCAATTCTAGCATGTCCAGATCTAACGAGGCAGACGCAACTTGAAACCGGAGGACAAAGATGGACACAGGGCTTTCTTCTTCATGTCATGGCACCAAGCCACGAGCACAATGAAAAAAATGAGAAAAGGTTTTGGCAGCAAAAATTACGCCCGGGTCGGCCCCGAAGGACAAACCAAAGCGGTCAGCGCCACGATGTGCAATGCAGGCTTCCCACCCTACGGCCCAGTATTCTTGATCACCGGACTCGTCGAACAAGGTAAGTATGAAGAAAAAAAAGAAGAGAAAGAGAGACTGAAATGGCGGGAGGCGAGCGAGATATATATACTGCCTTCCCGTGGCCCGTGCGCTCTAAGCGAGCCTGCAAACTCCTGTTCACCGCCCACGTTCTGCCGCCTATTACCGCTTGGGCCTTCGCTGGAGACGGATGGGTTTCTTTGGCCAATCACAGCAACTCTGTGCTAGAGTGGCCCACCCAAGGGTTTCCCTTCGCTTAATTTTCACCCACACCTTTTTTCCTGAAAACTTTCCTCTTCTTTTGCATCCCGACGACGACAAACGACAAAAGCCAGACCAGTCAATTCCACCCAGTCGACAGGCACAATCATTCAAAATGGTCAAGGTTAGCAAGAGTATGTCACATCCTCCTCGCCATCATGGACGGCAATTGCCAGTCACGATCACGACGGAATGCTGACAGCTTTCTTCCCACAGCCCTTCACTCCTCGCGCCGCAAGTCGCGCAAGGCCCATTTCGGTGCGCCTTCCAGCGTCAGGCGCAACATCATGAGCGCTCCCCTGAGCAAGGAGCTGCGCGAGAAGTACAACGTACGTTTCCTGCCAGAGATTTGCCCTCCTGTTGCCTACAAAGGCTTGTACTGACAGTCTGCTCCCCTCTCACAGGTCCGCAGCATGCCCATCCGCAAGGATGACGAGGTCACCATCGTCCGCGGCGCCAACAAGGACAAGGAGGGCAAGGTCACCTCGGTCTACCGCCTCAAGTACGTCATCCACGTCGAGCGCGTCACTCGCGAGAAGACCTCCGGCCAGAGCGTCCCCCTGGGCATCCACCCCAGCAACGTCGTCATCACCAAGCTCAAGCTCGACAAGGACCGCGAGAGCATCCTAGAGCGCATCAAGATCGGCCGCGAGACTCAGGCTAAGAACCGCAGCAAGTAAATGCACTTGCGGAGCGGCGGCCGGCAGGCAATGGCGGCGGTAGCGGGTGGCCACCCACCTCGAACCCAGCTCTGTGCCTGCTCGTCTGTGGGCGTGTGAGGTGGTCATGATCAACGAACAACAAAAGAGAGAAAACAAGTCGGTTGGGCCGAACCCCCCCCGACTTGTCGACGATACCCCCGCGCTCGTCGAGAAGCATTCAAAAAAGCATCGGCTATGGCGTCTATTGCGGTATAATTGCCTGGATTTTGGGAACGGCAAACGGATACGAATCGGATTTCTAGTTGCAGAACACAAAATGAGACAAAGTTGCTCAATGGCCATTTCACGAAAAGCCTGCTCTTTTTTCAAAATGCTCGCTGTGAAATGCTCCATGGGAGGTCCTCCCGAAGCCACGCACTCATACCCCCTTTCTTATTTTCTTCCCTTGCCCTTCCCCCGTCCTCTCCACCCCAAGACCAACATCGTAGACGCAGGCTGGCTCCCCAGCTTGTATGCTCCGCTCTCGACTGAGCACAGGAAGGGGCTGGGCCTGGACTGAAAGCCCGACGTCACGAATCGTCGCGAGGCACACGTCTTATGACGGCTCACGCCCAACCCAAGGTAACATCAGCATGCAAAACCGTAGAGAATGACATGTACATACCGCTAGGATATCTCCGCGTCAACCACTCAGACCGATGGTTTTCGAGGTATACGACTGGCGAAGAGTGAACCCAGTGTCGGAGCATATAATCACCTGCTCCTTCGCTCTCGCCTGCAGACTGTCTTCGTAAGATTGTGAGATCAATGAGGCTGATAGTTTGATGGTGAGGCACATGCATTACTGTAAGAGCAGACTCGCCCTTGGAAAGCGTTCAGGATCCTTTCCATGGAACCTTTCCATAGAAAGATATCCCGATAGATATCAATACAATGCATTCGAAATTCATCACCATTGCCATCTGCCCTTCCTAATCAATTCTGCGCAGTTGCTCCCGTTAGAAAATTACACACCATCTATCATGAGGCGGCGCGTGGACTCAGAGACGTAGTGTACAAGACATGAATTCATCTAATAGTCTCTAATAAGAAAAACTACCGGATACGAGGAGATGCGCGCAAGGCCCGTACATGGGCAATCATTATACATCTCCATCCATCAATGATCCATGTCAAAAGAGAATAACAAAGTCCATGATACTTTTTCCTTCCCGTTCCAATCCCTCTCAGCCATGAACAATGTCTCCGAGACCGATGAGTTCGCCACAAGACAAACCCTAAAAAAAAAAGAAATGAATCGGATATCTCGAGGGACACACCAAGCAAGAAGAATGATTGCTCTGGTACAGTTGCCGAAATAAGAGCATGCTGCCGGGATCAATACGTGGTGGTCGTTGCCGTATAATACATGAAAAGAGAATGATGTCGAGCAAAATCGAGTTAAGCTCCCTCCCACTGGGCTGGACGACCTGAGCGGTCCTTGGCATCGCCGATGGCAAGGTTGCGGAACTGCTGCTCCAGTGAACCAGGGCCGATGTCGTTGACTTGACGACGATCCTTCTTAGCCCTCGCTTCAATAAAGTTCAGGACGACATCCTCATCCGAAAGCGCGTCCCTATTCTCAACATGCTGCTGCGGGCGAGATGTGGCATAGGCCGGGCTGAGGAGGCTTCCAGCTCCCGCATACTGAGGCAGAAATCCCTTGGCCGTCGCAGAAGACAGGGTGCTGGGGAGGGCATCATTGCTGCCCGCGGCACCACGCTTTAGTACATTGTGAAGAATCCTGGCACTAAAACATGCGTTAGACACGTTCAGGAAGTACAAAGTAAACCCCTTACCCGGTATTCTCACCAAGTTTGCGAGGGTTGACATTCATGGGGTTGGTGCGTCTATCGACTCGATGATCGTCAGGATGCTAGCAAGGATCGTCAGCAAATACAACGACGCGGGCAAGATGCATGGCGTTCATAACCTACAGGAGGTGTGTTCTCCTTGCTCAAGGCCGCCGTGGAGCCAGTAGCATGGCTAGTTGGAGTAGGAGTCAACGGGCGGAAAGGGTCATTCACTCTGGTGTTGTTGCAATGACTGCCGCGGCCATGCATGGACTGTGAAGAGCTTCGACCAGACGAGGTCGGGTTGGGTGAGAGAGGATAGAAATCTTTGCCATCAAACTTTGGAAGGCCCAGCCGAATCGAGGCAGGGGCGTTCGCCCAGTACAGAAAGCGAGAACGCTCCTCATCTTGAGTCAGTTCCCGCTTGTATATGTAGTCCTGGCCATGAGTAGTAGATAGGTCCTCCCCAGAGGGGAGAACTCCAATCAGGTACGGTATGCCAGCAATAGTGTCCCCGTCAACTTTCAGGTTGCGAAGAGCCATGTCGCTGGAGGAAATTTGCGGGCAGCCGTCTGTCGACGCGGTAGAAGACGACTTGTATCCCTGCTCACCACTAGCGATGGGCCGCTTCTCCATGGCCTCATCCTTCTTTCCGGCGCCGTGATTCTCGATGATAGTGTGTCGAGGCCTGAAAGGCGCAGCCAGGGCGGCGTCGTAGGAAATAGCCTTCGAACCCTGACTACCTCCAGATTGAGATGAAGTTCCGCGATCGCTGAAATGCAGCGCCGCCTCATTGCTGCGGCTGGAGTTAATTCCCTCAGCTGGGCGAAGAGACTCCCTGCTTCCTTTCTTGCCTAGCTTTGGCTCGGTTGAGCCGGGTTGAGAAGATATGAAGGCCGGCGCGGTGGGAGTGGCAGACTTGCTCATCTCCTCGCGCGTCTTCTCCCGCTTAGGATAGTACTTGTCTTCGTACACCAACTGGTTGCGGTGTAAGGTTTGGAAATGCTCGATCTGCGACTTGAGCATCTGGATGGTCTTGTCCATCTCCTTCTCGTCGATCTGATGCTTGTTGTACTGAAGCTGGTCCTCGTGATATTTGAGTGCCTGGCGAAGGGACTCGATCTGTTTCGAGGTAATGTCGCTGGGACGGATCGATGAAATGGGAGGAGCATGCGGCGGCTGCATCTGGTGGACAGGTCCCGGAAAGCCCGGGCTCATACCGGGGAACTGTGGCAGCATGCCGTGAGGACGACCAAAGCCTGGAGGGGGAGCAACAGCACTTGCCGCTGGAGGGACCGGACCTAGGACTGGACCAGGAAAGACGGGAACCCGCGGGCTTCCGATGTACGGTTGAGGAATCATGGGGGGCATACCCATTGGCGGAGCAAAAGACGGTGGCATAGGGTACATTAGCTGGCCGTTGTAGAGAAAGGGCTTAGAGTGATCGAATTGCTCAGGAGGCGAGATCTTGATCTTGCTGTCTCCCTGATCAGCATCCGACAAGGCGGGGGCTTGACCGGGATCATTCTCCTTGTTCTGCGGCTCTTTCGACATGCTCGCAGACGAAGCCGCGCCAGTGTTCTCCGCAGGTGCGTGGGCAGCGAATGGAAAGCCGGGCGGCATGCTCACGCCCATCGGCATGGGCATCATGGGCATGGGCGGATTGAGGGGGCCGAAGTGCGGATGGTGGTAAGGAGGATAGAGGTGAGAAGGTATGGCAACCATAGACACCGAGCGGCCTTGCTCAGCCGAGATACCGGGATGTTCCTGGGGAGCATCGTTGGCTGAAGCTTCATCCTCTGGTTCCTTGTCCTTGGCCCGCTTCGACGTTGGCGAGCCAGGGCCGCGATGGTTCGGCACAATGCGGCCTCCCGCAGTCACTCTCACATGCGTGGGAGAAGAGACGGCCTTGTAGAACCGCTGAAAGCCCTCGCTCTGTTGCGCGTTCAGGCCAGTGGGAGCCGAAAGGGGCTCTGTAGCAGCGATCTCTGAGCCGCTTCGGCCACGATACATCCATTCGGCCTGAGGAAGAAGATCATCCGGGGTGGCCACATGAGGCTGAGTGCCAGTCTTGGCCAGAAACTTCGAGGCGATGCGAGAAGCAGGTTTGGAAGCGGCCAGCTTGGATGCGTAGCCCTTGTACAGCAATTCCTCGGAGTCGGAGGCCGAGGTTTCCTTCTGGTCCTCCATTGTCGGCAGTAGCTCAGGGGCTTTCGGGGCAGAAGCCTCAGAAGGATTTCGCAGCGCTCGAGAATTGGCAGGAGCAGTAATTTTGGCTAATGGCAACGTCAGTGTCACTTGCTCCAACATGATAGCCCGGAAAGGAGCCTACGTACCGAGCTCTTCGTCCTGGTCAGCTAGGGCCCTGAGGTCCGACGCAACGTCGCGACCGCGCAAGCTCAGCAACTCTTGAACAGAGTAGCTCCGAGAGGGCATTCTGCAGTCGATATAGGCAAATATGAAGTGTGTCTTGTGGGTTTCTCGGGACTGCCACTGGAACGAAGTTGGAAAAGCCGGGCCGTCGTCTGGAGACCTGACGGCAATGAAGTTCAGTATCGGGGTAAACGGGATCTGACGAGCATCTGGATTAGCAAGCTTTTGAGCCTCGAGTTGAGATATGATGAAGTTTGGGATAATTTCTCGGTCCACAGTCCTGGAGCAGATGAAATAGGGATCTGTTTGGATCTTGACCATGGCGCATCGTCTGCCAATACGGAGGAGGTATTTTGCTTCCATCCACACGAATCTGGTGACGACAAGGTCAAAGTCCTGGGCCTCCAAGAGCTGCGAGAGCAGCTTCTTTGTCTTCTTTCTTGAAGGCATGGAGGTAGCTTGTATGTTGAGGACAAGGGGGCATGTGGCATGACCTTGACCCAAGTGAGGAGGAGGTGATGAGGAAGTGAGATGAGAATGATAACTTACCACCAAAAACAGTCTGTGGCACAGATTGCCAGTCCTGCGTCGCGCAAAAGATCGTCGTTGGAGAATTATTGTGCCTCGGGTGACAGCCACAGATCAAATCTGGTGGAGCGAACAGCAAGCAGTCTGTAGATAGTAGGTATGACGGTCGAACCAAGGTCCAGCTGGGCTTTGCGAGTGATGAGACAATGCCCGGCTGGAACAGGGAGGGCGGGAACCAAGTGCCAGCCCTCGATGGGTCTGCGAAGAGAAGCTCCTTCCTCAGCGATGTCGTGGATATTGCTCGACACTGAAATCAGGAAAGAGAGACCAATACTAGCACCAGGCAAGAGGAGAAGACAGACGAGGTCGATCAAGGGGGAAAGCCAGGGTGCAGTGATAGATATCCGCAAGGAAAACAACAAAGCCCTGAAAAAGGTTGAAAAAGTGCAGAGGGAGGAGAGGCGTGGAATGGTAACAGGTCAAGTACCAGAAGAGATGGAGCGGGTGGTGAGGAAAGAAGGTAGATGGTGGAGGCAGTCGGTGAGAGGGTGGATGGAAAGGTGGAGGAATCAAGACTTCTGAATCCAATCAAGCGCGCAAAGTGACTCGACTAAATTGACAAACCAGCCTAGATGGGCACAAAGTGAAAAGGAAAGTGAAAGACGCGTCCGGCCTTGATGTGAATTGCAGACTGATCTCAGGGTGAGGGAGAGAGCAGAGGAGAGACAGCAGGAGGACAGGGCGGGTGCCTTTTGTGCGCAACAGCAACAGCAACAACACTCTTTCAAGACCGTGAACTTCTGGGCAGGTTGATGCTTGGAATTGCGTTATCTCTGCGCCGTGTGTATGTATCGCTCATTCCTTTGCTCCAAACAGCAAATCCAGGCCCAGTCTTTCTCATATACCTTCCTCGTGCGAGAACTGTCATAGCCTCGTAGGTTCGAAGCATACACGATATGTCCCATCCCTGCGCCTTCAATTGTATATCTCAGTCTCGATAGTCCACTGGACATGGAAACCTCCTATCTTTACCGCATATATATAAAAAAAAAGACGTGCCAGATCACACATCCAAGTCCAAAGGACAAGTGACTGTGTCTCCTGAGCAACACTCCTGTCTTAAAGCAGTCTCCCTCTATGCTGGCCAGAGCAGTAGGCAAGAGATGAGAATCAAACACCAACCCGTAAAAGAACATTGTCAAGCAAAGAAAAGCCAATATGCCGCCCAGCGCCATGGCTTAGAAAATCATCATCATCCATCGCATTCAAATATCTCACGCTGCGCCCCTCTTCCGAGCTCCAAATTGTCCATCGAAATTGATATCGCTTCCTCTCACCAACTTTGGTGCTGCCGCTTGTTGTTTGAGAACAGCTGCCCTTGCGAAGTCAATGTGTTGATATCCAATATTGGCTCACGAGCCTCTCTTTGCAGGGTGACTGCCAGCAAGTCCTCGAAACAACCTCGGGTATGCCTGTGCGGCAAGTCGGCATTTCGTAAGTGCAACGGCCCGAGCCGATGTCGATCATGTGTCGGGCTTGGAGAAAGAGGCCAGACAGAAACAAGAGACCGGCTCTGCTGTGCCCAATGGTAGCCAAACCCTAGAGCGTCACTGGAGATCATCCGGGATAGGAGGGTTCGGCATGGGTGGCGTCGGCGGAGGCCTGGGTCGGGGGTTGTCGTCCTTGCGACTGAGTTGAGCGGCCATCGTGGCTTGTAGATGGGCTCCTGGGATGAGGGCCAGTCTCTGAATCTTTACAAGTTCAAGTGTAGTGATGGGGATCCAGGGTTGGAAAGTTGTTGGAGCGACGGAGTAGCATGAGGGGCCTGGAAGCTCCTCGACACCTCGTTTATGAGAAGAGTCAAGTACACATGGAAGACTGGCAAGGAACTCCTGGTATATAACATCTCGCAGCTTTGATCTCCCCCTCCCTCTTGCTCGAACCCCCCCCCACCACGACTGCCTACAGGAGCCGTGAAGAGCCGTCGGGCAATCGCCAGAAAAGATAAAAAAAGAAGAATGGTGCGGAGGTGGTGCCTGGATCGTCCCCTGTCATGTTGTTCCATTTGCTCCGTGAGACGACCATCACGCCCCGTAGGCTGCAGAGGTTTCCGGTCGCTGTTCTTGCACGTGGCACCCACCCTGTTGGCCGTTTGATCGACGGAAAGGATGGTGGTGTGCACTCCAAGTCGATCTGCCCTCTGACAGGTCGACCGGGCCCCCATGATGGGGGATATATGAGGTTACAGCGCACAGATTCCAATTTTCGCCTTCCGTATCAACGGTTCACCATCCACTGAGACGGGTCGAAAGCAGGGAATGGAACCTTCCCTCCCGGTGCCCTCCCGGGAGGCCAGCTGACCTTTCCCCATGCTCCCACTCACTCCTCGCCAGTCAATCAGCATGACGCTTGGTCCCGTAGCAGCTTCGCAGACGTCGAGAGCATGTCACCTCCCGAGCATATGATCGCAACATCCAAGGCCAATATGGATTCGGTTGCCTTGCCGCTGCACGTCCGCGCACACCGGTTACTGCACGGTGCCTTGCGTTGTCTTCGTCAAAATCTGCCCACCATGACGTCTACAGGATATCGACTGGATATCGTGCGCTTGTCAGATCGCAGCAGGATAAAACGGACAAGGCCTTGACACCCTCCGTGCCTAGGACCAAAGCTTCCAGGACGATGGTAGGCCCGAAATCACTTCCGCACTTCACGCCTAGGAGGTTGCCATCCATCCCTTCCTACCTCCAAAACCCCCCACGTTTGTCGCCAATAGGGGGACCTGAGCACGTTATGGAGTGGGAAGACAAGACTTGTTTTATCACAACTCACACGGCTAGTACGGGTCGTCACGGTGGCCTACCACAGATCGGTAGTGTCTGGGACCCGTAGGAAAAAGGCGGGCAGAGAGACTGGAAGGGAACAGGCTTCACAGCGCGCGTCGTCAGGAGTGCCGTGCCGCATCCTCTCGGAGGCAACCCGTTTTACCTTTTTGCACGGGCATGTTCCGCGCTCCGTGCTTGTCACGCCACTTTCCCGATCTCGAGAATCACCATCCTCCCGAATGGCCCCCGTGTCGGGTTTCCTGTGGTGCGCGTCGCTGACATTCGGATTGCTGATGCTGATGCTGATGCTGAGGGTGTTGTTGGATCTGGCCCTGTCCCTGCTACTCCTCTCACACATATCGCACTTGAGATACCGGATTGGGTGGGCTGCGTTAGGTCCAATCGAGCACCGTGCAGGGATTGCGATTCCTTCGCGTACAGCTTCCCGGGCTCTGCAACTCGGTCTCGGCTCTCAGGTGCGCTGTCTCTCCCAAAGAGACTCGGAAAAACCTGGACATATCCGCCTCCGGTACCACGTTATGGAACGGCAGAACCCTTGGGTCCGCTCCTGTGGGCTTAACTATCTTCCCACATCCGTGGGTTTCAGCTGTGCTTCGACCGATTACGTGCGTCTGCAGCAACATCAAGACGGGGGCGGCGACGTTGGATCGATCCGTTCCTGGGTTGGCGCGCGTACCGTAACCCCCCCCCCCCCCCCCTGGCCCTCGCCCTGGCATTCTTTTGTGTAGCTTACCCACTTCGGCAATCAGGAACTTTCTGATAGGGCGGGCTCAGGTCCTGGCCCGGGGCAAAAGCCAGGCGGTTTCCCGGGGTCCCGAGGCTTAGTTATAAGTTTAGGGAATGCCCAAGGTGTGTGTGTGTGTAGCACTCTCGCCCCGCAAAGGACCACCCCGCGCATATCAGTAGAGGAATCACAAGCCTCCGAATGGCCCAAGGAGCACAAGTACAAGTATTGTACTGTCAGGGCTTGGAAGCCAAGAATACCTAGAGTCAAAGCCACAACACGCACGACCGGACTGGCAGGGCTAGTGGGACGGGTCACGGGCTGAAGCTATCTCTGACATCGAGGTATTACCTAGCGCAACCTTGTTCGAGAGACAGACCAGAGTCGCCTGCGTGCAAACGGTCTCGGCCCGGAGGCTACAACATAAGAAAAGCCTCCTTCTAGAAACCCCACACACCTCGGTCGAATGCTTGTAGGGAGAAGCTCTCTCCACATCCCAGAGGATCAGTATCCGAGAGTGACACTTGCGCTCTTTTTCCCATGTGGCATTGACTCTTTGTGCAAACGTCCCGGAAACACCGCAGTAAATCCTCAGACAAAAAAAAAGAAGTAAAACATTGCCTCATCTTGCCCATCCAAAGAGGGAAAGCACACGACGCACGAACAAGCACAGACATCCGTAGCATAACCACGCCACGGAAAGGGAACCTCTAGTCCATCAACCATGGCACCGCTCACTCCCCACTGGGTCCAGCCCTCCCACCCTGACATCCAGGAGGTCATCGTCAACGAGGCCGAGTTCACCTCCAAGAGCCTCTCGAGGGTCGACCTGCCGCCCTTTGCCCTCTTCGCCAAGCTGGACTTCCCGCCCTGCACCGTCGCCGATGGCCCGACCTACGCCACCGTCCAGTACGGCCGCGACAAGCACCTCGACCTCAACAGCGACCTGCTGTACATCAACCACTCCTGCGAGCCATCCCTGGTCAGTCCCTACCCGTAGATGTCTGGAGAGAAAGAGAGAGAGAGAGAGAGAGAGAGAGAGAGAGATGCGCGAGAAAGATCCTGGGAGCCGGAGTCTGTGCTCTTTTATCCCCCCTCCCCCTCGACATCCGGAAACAATGTGATTAATACGGAACCGAACCTCGGGGCCTCCCGTCTCTAGATCTTCGACACAGGCAACTTCAACGTCATCGTCGGCCCCAACGGCCTCAAAGCCGGCGAAGAACTGACTGTCCGTAGCATCCTTCCGTCCCAGCCCCAACCCTAGACCCCCCAAACTCACCATCAGCATTCCCAAAACACATATAGTTCTTCTACCCCTCGACCGAATGGCACATGGCCCAGCCCTTCGACTGCCTCTGCGCCAAGCCCTCCTGCCGCGGCCGCATCGCCGGCGCGGGCCAGATGACCCGCGACCAGCTCGCCGGCACCTGGATCAACGGGCACATCCGGCAGCTCCTCGAGGAGCGCGACAGCAGCAACAACAACAACGGCACCAGCTCCGGTGCTGCCGCTACCGCCGCCGCCGACAACAACGACAGCGACCCGACGGCCCGGGCCCTGCGCGACGCCCTCCGCCACGCGGAGCAGGTCGTCGACGCCGCGCGCACCGCCCTGCTCTCGTACGCCGCCGCCGCCGCCGCCGCCTCCCAGTCTCAGCACAACAGCGGCGTCGGACCGCCGACCAACGGCGTCGGCAAGGCGGCCACGAGGCGCGGGCCCACGTCGCGGGAGCTGAGCGGCGAGATGGGCGGCGATACTGTCCGCGCCTAGATGCGAAGGAAAGGGCGAGGCTGATGGTTTGAAAATTCAGCCGGGGAATGGGAGGGGAGGGGAGGGAGGGAGGGAAGGAGGTGCTGGTGGATCAACCGTGGTCGTCGAGGAGGGGGCATACGGCCTGGTTTTCCCCCATTTGCTCAACATTGATGGGGGGAATCGTTGTGTGTCGACGTGATCCGAAGCCTCCCCTCCACTCCCCTTTTTTGCTCGCCCTACTACTTCTACTACCGCTGCTTTCTGTTCAGTTGTTTTTCTCTTTTGTGCTGTTGGGGGATTCAACATCTCCGCTTCAATATGATCTGCATTTCATCAAGAATCCAGGGACCGTTGCAAATAACGTGATCATATGCATATGTTCGTGTAACCTTTCTTGGTTCGACCGGCGGCACAACCGACAAGATGAGATGGATTCAGAATCAAAATGGGGTTTTGACAGATCCTGTACAAAACAGGTGCAGTATTACTAGCCTGGCCTCTCTATTTATAACAAAAACTCCGTTCCCATGCCCGGTCTGCCCTGCTTGCAACAAGATCATACATGATCCTCGGTTGCTAGGGTAAAAGAAACATCCTCCGGTGGGTGTGTATGCACAAAAATAATAAAAAACAGACAAAACAACGTTGATACAAGAGGGCATGCATGCTCTACTCATTTGGAGCCCCGATCCAGCCACCTACCCCATTTGCTCTTGGCGTGGCCCTTGTCGCTGCCCACGCCCTCGGCGTACTTGGCCTCTTCCTCCTCCCACTTGGTCCTCTCGACCTGGCTCCTCGCCAAGAAGGCCCGCGCGAACCGCCACGCCTCCGTGTCCGCGAGGTTCCAGGCCTCGACGGCGTTGCGGATAGCAACGTCGCGCTTGTCTTTGCTTCGGCCCATCGCCCTCGCCTTCTCCAGCAGAGCGGGCTCGCGCTTCAGTTCCTCGGGATCCGCGATGGGGCCGTCAGCCTTGTCGTGCTCGGGCTGCGGCCTGCGCTCCGGTCCGGGCACGGGCGTCTCGGACCTGCCGCTATCCAGACCCTCGCCTAGCTGCGGTACGGCAAAGCCAAAGTGCCAGTCCACGATGTCCTCGGGGATGCCTCGCTCTGCCTCCACCCAGAGGGAATGAGTGTGCGTCACGGGGCCTGCGACAGCCTCCTTGAACTTCAGAAGGCGCGGGCCGCCGGCCATGCCATCGCCGAGAATGTCGCGGGTCACGGCTATGATCCAGGCATCGCGCTCTGACTTGCGCCGGACCCAGGGAACGTCGAGCGACTCCTTCATGTGCGCCAGGGTCTGGAATGTGTAGGGGTGAGGCACAGTGCCGATGGTGTATATAGATGTGTTGTTGCGATAAAAGGCAGGCGTGTACAGCTTGACGTTCGCCGACACGCAGGGTACACACCTCTCCTGGTTTGGCGGGCAGGTCGAGGGAGCTGGCGAGTCGTTGCACTGCGCCAGGCGATTGGCCAGATCCCAGGCAGGCTCAATCATCTTGGTCGTGTGCTTGGGAACCGGCTTCAGCACAGCAATGCCATCTGGGAAGGTGTTCTGCCAGGTGGTATGCAGGTGTGCGTTGATGAGCTTGTTCAGAGACCTCAGCCCTGCGGCTCGGTCTTTGGTAATCAGATCGCCAAGCTTGGTGAATCTCCTCTCTAGGGCTTTGGCGTTGTAGAACGCAAGCGACTCGGGCGTGTTATCTATGGTGAAAGGATCCCCTTCTTTCTCCACTGGCAAGACAGAGATGATGTCGCCCGCAGCCTTGATCTCGTGGCTCTGCATAGCGAGCTTGATGGCGGAAGCGATCTCGTTCTTGGGACCCACGAAAAGGCCGTTGTCTAAGCCCCTGAACCTGGTCAAGGACGGGTACTCCCCGCGGCGGAGAAACGTGAGCAAGGGGTCATCGTACTTGCTCATGGGCAGAACAAGGTAGTTGGACAGCAGACCGCCCCCCATGTTCTCCCAGGCGAGCCAGGTCATCAAATCGGTCTTCAGGGAGGATTCCATCTCCATCCTCTGGAGCTCCTCGTACAGCGGATTGTTCATAGCCTCTGCAGCACTGAGGATAACAGGCCTAAAGCCGTGGTACCACCAGGCTCGCCTCCATGTGAGCAGCAGGGCGCTCTCGGCGTTTTTACTCGCGGCATCCTTTTGCACCGTAGTGTCGTAGTAGCAGTAGATCGGAGGGCGCTCTTGCAGGTCCGGCAGCAGCGAGCGGCCCTCATCGAGGGTGATTGTGGAGGAGAAGGGGATAGAAAGCCACCTCCAGTTGGAGTACCACGAGGACTCGCCGTCAGTGTCGTTCTTCTGCCTCGCTGGCGGGTGCGCCGGGGGCTTGAAAGGGTTGAAGACCTTGGGCCATTTCGAACTGCCCTTCAACTTGGGGATGGAGAATTTGTGATCGGTGAATTTGGACAGACTCGGGCCGGTAGGAATGGCGCTCGGGAGGCTGATTATTAGACTGAAGATGGCGAAGATGGAGATGGCCGCGAGGAGGAGCGAGATGCGACGGGAGGATATGCGGGGCACTGGCCGCCCGAAAATAACGTGCTGCTTAGGCATCTCGGTGCTCTATTGAAATAGGACGTCGGAGCCAGGAGATATCGTGGTTTGCGAGTTGGGATGCCGAAGGGAAGGGTGCTTCCCAGGCTTGCGCTCTTCGAGCTATGTGCGGATTCTAACGAGAGTGGCAAGGAAATAGTAGAAGGAATCACAGATGGGGAAAGAGTTAGAGGAGGAAGAACATGGTTTCGCCAAGCCCAAGACTGTCTACTCTGCAGCTGGGCTGGGATTGTGACGATGTCGGAGTTCTGTCTGTGTGGTGGTGGGACAGAAGAGCGAAGGTTAATCCCCAGAGTGACGAGCGACTGATCAACAGGAAGCACTTTCAGAAAGGGGACGACAATTTGGAGCAGGGGGGTTGATTAGGCTCTGCGGTCCGTGCGCTAATCAACCGGCGGTATTAGCATGTTATCATATCCATTGCATACAGAGCAGCCAGGAAAGGAATCCAACGTACCTACTTTCAGCTAAGGAGGCACATATTTTTTTAATTGAGATATGACCTCGGGGCCTTCCAGCTTCCAACTCCTATCTTCGTGAAAATGTAGACCACCGTAAGCAGCTTGTAGAAAATGGGACAATGTCAATGGCATCAAATGATATCAAGACATGCTTCTTCAGTGCCACCCCCACTTTTATCCGTTCACAACCCATCTCCATTATGTACAAAGATTCAACTCCGGAGCCGCATTTACACCAGCCAGCACATGAGATGACTCAAACAAATTCTCATTCATAAATTCTCATAACAACCTATCCTCGAGACTTTGTTTGCCATATATGCATTATATCTACCTGCTGGCATAAGTGTCCAAGCAGCCAGGGCCTGTAGAAGCAGGCCACTCCAAAGGCATGAGCCAGCCGGTCGAGATGAAGATCGACCCGGCCAGAGCAAAGGCCCTGGCGTCACAGCTCCAGAGCGTCAGAGAACGCATTGCTGCGACCGCAAATGGCCGAGCAGTAAGACATCAATACCCCTGGGGATACACTCTCGAAGACATCCTGAACATGGCTCACCTACATGTCCTCACAGGTAAGGCTAGTGGCGGTATCAAAACTCAAGCCCGCCAACGACATCCTGGCCCTTCACCAGGCCCCCATCAACCAGGTCGATTTCGGGGAGAACTACACCCAAGAGCTCTCACAAAAGGCAGCCATCCTACCGCGGTCCATCCAGTGGCACTTTATCGGCGGCCTCCAGTCAGGTATGTCTCCTTCTTCTCCTCTTCTTCTTCCCACACGCCACGAAAGCCAACACACGAAAAAAAAAAAAAAAAGGCCACTGCAAGAACCTCGCCAAGATCCCCAACCTCTTCTGCGTCTCCAGCATCGACACCCTCAAGAAGGCCCAGCTCCTCGACAAGGCCCGCGGCGACCTGCGCCGCGCGGACCCGGCCGCCAGCCAGATCGGCGTGCACGTCCAGGTCAACACCTCGGGCGAGGACGCCAAGTCGGGCTGCCAGCCGGGAGACGACGTCGTCGCCCTCTGCCGCGCCGTGCACAGCGACGACCAGTGCCCCAACCTGCGCCTGCTGGGCCTCATGACCATCGGCGCCTTTGCGCGCAGCGTCGCCACCGGCGCCGGCGAGGAGAACGACGACTTCCGCCTGCTGCGCGAGCAGCGCGACCTCGTGGCCCGGGAGCTGGGCCTCAGCGGCACCGAGGAGCTCGAGCTGAGCATGGGGATGAGCGAGGACTTTGAGGGTGCCATCGCCATGGGCAGCAGCGAGGTGCGGGTCGGGAGCACCATCTTTGGTCAGAGGCCGGCGAACAAGGCGGATGCCAAATTGATTGTGTAGTAGAGTAGTAGTGGTGGTGGTGGTGGTGGTGGTCCTATTTGCTAGAATGAAAAGTGTGATAATTCATCCCAAGACTTCACACATGTATGCACGCACACGCAAGTTCTTGTCTCTCTCTCCCACTGGTTTTACAAACAACTTGTTTCATCATGCATTTTAAAGAGGCTCACTATACTTGATGGAAAATCAGACCGAGACACAAACACAGTCATGGCTCCCAAACATATGCAGCCCGGAACTCCAACATGACAACACAGGAGCCACGACCTACAGATATCGAACTTTTCCCTCTCACTCATACCCGTCGTCGCTCTGCATGTAGTGAAAATCACCTCCCAGCCTCGTCCGGGACCATGATGTTGCCAAATGTCTCCGAGATCTCCCGTGGGGTCGGAGCAACATGTTGAGTCGGAGCCGTGGACATGCCTGCAGCAAGCCTTTCCTCCATCTGCTTGAGTAGAACTGGAGGGACGGCCTCGTCGGTTGCTCTGATCGTGAGTCGAATCATCTACAATATCGTTAACACCCGGTCTCAGTAGTTCAACAAGAGTGTGAGAACTTACTTGAGTCGCGTAATTCGGCTCCAGCCTCAGCAAGCAGCCAAACTTGCCTCCCTCAGAAGTGTGGACCACGCTGGCCCCGACAAAGTTCTTCTCATTGGGATCAACCCCGTGCAGAACACCCCAGCGGAATCCCTCCAGAACTTTGCGGACAAAACCTTCGTTGATCTGCCGGTCCGGGTCCCTACCCGCCGACAGACCGAAAATCTGCTGCGCCTCCCTGGGAGCTCCGCCAATCTGCTTCCACCGCTTGAAGAAATCCTCCGCCGAGAGCTCTGCGGGGTCCATGAACTTGTGAATGGTGACTGGCAACTTCAGAGTGATCGCCTGGAGGGCTCCGGCGAGGTAGCTGATCCTGATGGTTGGGCTCTTCTCAAAGACCTTCTTGGCTTCAAACATGATGACTTGCTGTGTCTGTGCTCCGGACCCCAGAGTGCTGTCCGGCAGGCCCTTGATATCCCAGGTCAAGTTTGCCTTTTCGCTTTCGTCGAGATCCAGTGTCGTGGTGAAGGAACTCACGGGAGCCGGCGTCTTGTTCGAAAAGTAAAGAATTAAGCACGCCATCTGGCCCCGGTACTCAGACCGCACACCAACCTGAAGCTGCCCATCCTCGAAAAGAACACCGTCAGCCTTGAGCAGAAGCCTGTTGTAGCCGCGTGCCCATCCAGGCGACAAGTGGGCTGCACTTGCGAGGTTTGGCACCTTGGTTGACTTTGGTTCTGCTTGTCCGAGGTTGAGCATGTCAATACCGGCCAGGTCATTGATCGCCTTGGCATCGCCATTTGCACCATTGGTATGTCCAGCCCCGTTCGTCTGACCATTTGTGCTGAACGTCCTTCTCAGGCCTGGGTTCTTGGCCATGCCAAGTTCGGCCGAGTCCACATTGGCGTCCTTGCCCCCGACAATCCATGTTCTCTTGTCGCTGGTATTTGCATGCTTCTGGTGCAGTCGAGACAGTAAAGCAGATTGTCGTTCTGGGAAAGGCGGCATCTCGTCACACACAGTCCGGAGGAGATCGTCGGTGGGACGTCTTGCGAGAGAGAGGTACTCGCAAGCACGCTGTTGAAGTTCTGAGTCAAGGGCATGGCTAAAAACATCAAAGACCTGGACCAGCTGAGGCTTGATTTCCGGGAAGAGATTGACGTATTTGATGAAACAGGACAGAATCATGGCCTTGGTGCTCGGTGAGCAGGCCGCCAACTTGCCCTGCAGTGCCAAGAACTGCTCGATGGGACTGCAGCCTTTTTCTTCCGCAATCAAATGACCGAATTCACCCAGGATATATGTGCCGATCTTGACCAGTGTTTCATGGCAATGATCCTGTTTGACATACTGAAGAGTGTTTTGCGCAGCATAGACTTGGAGTTCCTCGTTGTTCGTGACAATCTGGACCACACGCTGCCAGACCTCATCACTGACGTGATCTCCGGCCATGGCAATCAGGCGCAGGGTGATATCGACATACCACTGGACGTCAGTAGCATATTTCTCTGTAAGAATAGCAATCTTGAGCACCATCTCCTCTCGGATGGCAAAATCCGCGTTCTGCAGATATCGCAGCAGCTCGCTCACGATGGCCTGGGCATTGGTCGAGTCGCACATGCTGTACAAAAGGTCCAGACCTTTCCTTCGCACACTGATGTCCCTGTCTTTCAGAGACCCAATGATGACGTCCTGGTGCTGCTTGATGGGTTCCAGCGTTTCCGCACGGGCTGCAAGATGCGTCATGGCCTCGAGGCCAAGGTATCGGACATTGGTCTCCCTTGACTGGATGAACTTGCCCAGCCTTGTCGATATCTGTTTCATCAAGGCATGCTCAGTGTCGAGGTGAATGATGAGGTTAATAGCCTCGAACAGAACGGCGTTCTGGGCATTGTTCTGTTGGACATTCTTGTTGCTTTCGAGGGCCCGATTCAGGATTTTTTGAAGCGATTCGCGAATCATGTCGCGAGTATGGCTGTCATCTACGGAAGGTCAATGTCAAGGAATCAATTAGAGTGGCTGTCAGGGCTTGGCACACACCTGACGGAGGGAAGTATTGGAGGAGCCGGAGCAGCTTGACTTGGATCCAAGGGCAAGGGACCTTGTAGTAGAGGTAATCGGCATTGAAGTCGCCATCTACTACGATGCGCTTCAGCCTCGCGGCGGCTTTCACATAGACTCCTTTGTACTGATCCTGATTGTCCTGGGCCAGTGTCATCACCAGCGATGTGACCGACAATGCCACACCCATGTCGACGTCGTCAAGGAGGGAGATTATCCGCTCTGCCCATTGCGGCTGGATGATGTCCGGATGTTTGCGGTACAAGCGCAGGAGTGTAAGAGCTGCCTTTTTCCTGACAAAAGCCTTTGAGGTTCTGCGTACAATGTTAGCGTACCAGGCGACGTCCCACTGCAAGCGCGCAGAACCTACGGAGAGATCAAAAGCCGGTGTACTTCTCCACTGAGCGCCTCGCCCATCTCCCTGCCTCCCACGTTGGCTATCGCATGTAGCGCCAGACAGTTGTAAAGCTCATTGTTGTCCAACAAATCCTTCCGTATACTGTTGACAACCAGGTGTAGCAGTTCATGCTTCTCGTGGAGGAAGAGTGTCATCGCCAGGTAGCCGATCTGCTTCTCGGAATACTTGTTCGCCGAGATGAGGTTTACGGCCTCTAGGTGCCCGAAGTCGACGTTCCAACCCAGTATATAGATATACAACAACTTTGCTTTTCGTAAGCTACCACAACTCATGCGCCGCTCCTGTGCCAAGCGTCACATACCTTGCAAACATATTTCTTCTTGTGATACCCGCTCAGGTTGCCGTCTAGTGCCAGTCAGTCTGCTGTCCTCGATCGGCCAAGGTGTTGCTGATACCAACCTTTGAACTTTTGACTATAGAATGGGAATTCCAATCAGTACATGCAAGTCTTTCTCGTACCGTGCACGTCGTCGCGACCTACCGGATATTGGCCAACTCCTTATTGATGCGCTTCTCTTCCAGTTCCCGAGCCCTAGCATTTCTCAAATCGGCAATGAACTGGACCAGACCGCGCATGTTGGAATTGTTGCTGCTCGAGCGGCCAAGGAAGCCGCCTCCTGAGGAGGACATCTTGTCGGGGGTGGCGGAAGGTTGTCGTCACACGCCTGGGAGGAGGATCCGGCGGTCTAACACCCGCCCGGGAGATACGGTTCCACGGTTGGCAGCACAGAGAGATGTTGTGGTTGAGCAATCTCCCAAAATCTCTTTTGCGAGCGTCCGCCAGACGACTCTCTCGCGAGAGGGTTCTATTCCATCGGTGAGCGGGAACCACGTTAGGGAGCGGCTTGTGCGGAACCGGGCTGGGCACGATGTGGAAAGCGGTAGGGAGCCCACAAGGGTGTCGCAAGACCAGTAGCGCAACAGCTGCAAGATCCTGGAGAAACAATGATGGCGCTGCGGTCCACGATGGCCCGTGGACGTTCACTTGAAAGTGCCGCTGTGATTGATAATGTCGTTCTGGATGGAGGAAGATCCGGGTGGAGAGAAAAGTCCCTGGAGAACAATCCAGCTCTTCAATCGCCCCTCCCGCTTCGATTAGTTAGTCCATTATTAGGGTCGCCGGACACCAGTCTCGGTCGGTTTGACTTATTAGGTAGCATGAGCTGGAACCACAGCGGTCCGCGGCTGCTGCCACCTGTGGCTAGTGACCCGTGGCGCTCCCTCGGGTACCCACCAGGGCCACCACTTAGGCATGAGCTAACTAAATGGCACTGTATTCAACAAGGGCATTCCCCCACGTTAAGCTCGAGCTTGGCGTACAATCCGCTGACTTCATCGAGTCGTGATTTTTTCAATTGGCTATCCGTCTTTCCACGAGACCACGAGATCGACAACTCCTGCGTGCGCAACATGACATGGGCACCTAGCATTTCAGGAGGATGATGCGACCAATTGTTCAAAGGGTCAATGCCCCTTCATTGCGGCCCGTACAGAGCTGGACACGCCGCTCCTATGCTTTCCAGGCCGCCGGAGCGCCTGTCTTCGAGGTCTTCAACCGCCGCACTAAGTGGCTGCAGAAGGAGCGGGCCGCTGCAGACCCGGAACTCAGTCGGCAAGCAGACTACTTGAAAGACGAAGTCGCTGCCAGGCTATGCGAGAGGCTTCTGGTATGCGGCCGATCTTTACGTCCTCCAATTTTGCAAGTCCATCATGCCAACTCAACCTCTTGAATAGGATATCAAACGAAGCTTTCCGAGGGCCTTGGATATAGGAGCCAATTCATGCAACATCGCCCGAGCTTTAACGATGGAGAATCCTGATCCGGACCCATCGACGCCAGTGTCAGAACCTCTTGCGAGCCGAATCTCGACTCTGTTGGCCGCAGACTCTTCTGAGTCGCTCCTTTACAGAGATGCCGACCTCCCCTTCAACAACGACATCGCTATTACACGGCAAGTGCTGAACGACGAGGAGACCATTCCTTATGAGGCGAATTCCTTCGACCTCGTCCTTAGCAGCATGAGTCTGCACTGGATCAACGACCTGCCAGGCGTCCTTGCCCAGATCAACAACATTCTGAAGCCCGACTGCCCGTTCATGGGCGCCATGCTGGGCGGAGATACCCTTTTCGAGCTCCGGACATCATTACAGCTGGCCGAGCAAGACCGGCGAGGCGGCATCTCGCCTCGCGTCTCGCCACTGGCGGATACTAGAGACATTGGAGGTCTGATGCAAAAGGCTGGCTTTAAAATGCTGACGGTCGATGTCGATGACATCATTGTCGACTTCCCCAACGTCTTCGCCCTCATGGAGGACCTCCAAGCCATGGGCGAGAACAATGCCATCATCGGTCGGGAGATGGGCCCTATCAGCCGCGACGTCCTCCTTGCGACGGATGCAATTTACCGAGAACTTCACGGAAATGAAGACGGGACCATTCCAGCAACGTTTCGGATCATTTATATGATGGGCTGGCACGAGTCGGCTGATCAAGCGAAGCCGTTGCCACGCGGCAGTGGACAGATCAATCTGAAGGACATTCTAGAGCAGAAGTAGAACCTGTATACCATATATACTGTAACAAAGTACCTTGGATAGTTGGGCGGGTGCCCACGGGAGTTTTGGACCATTCGGATATCAAGATATCATACCTGGACTCCTTATTTTTGAGTCTTGGGTTTTTACAGCAGACAGCTTGTACTAGCCCGGTTCGGCACCAATATTCTTATAAATAGTCATAATCATTGCATCTTTTTTCCAGCATCTAGTCTGTGCCGGTGCCCCTGGCTGTGCAGCTATGTAGATCGACTACAGATACCAAAAACGGATGTTCCTCCCAAGCATCATACCCGCCTCCAGTCTGTCATGGTCCGCACTATGCAGCCGATGCCCGCGACATCCACGACCTTCTCGTGCCAGCTCAGCAGCACGCTCATAGCAGCGCCAGTCGACTCGTTCGCGGCGCCGGGCCTGCCACCGATCTGGCTGAAGCCGGTCTGCTGGGGCGTCATCCGGGTCGGCGTCCGCGGGGCGCTCCCAGATGCCGTCGGAGAGGTGCCCATGCCCTTGTATCTAACGAGGAGGCGCACTCCTTGTCAGCTCTTCATCAATCCTGAGTAACGCAGCCTTCGTTCACAGATGCCGAAACCTACAGATACTTCATGAGCACGTCCAGCTGCTCGCTCCCTCCTTCTGAGCCGTAGATGCGCTGCAGCATGGGCGTCATCTCGCTCGCCTTGATCGACTGCAGGACCTCGATCACCATCTGCAGCGCGGACTCCTTGGCGGCATCGCTCCCGTTGTAGACCGGCATCTCCAGGCAGCCCCGCAGCGCGCCCTCGGCGTCGCCGCCGCGCAGCAGCTGCCGGACCTGGCCCGCGAGCTGGCGCACCTCGGCCTCGCCGACCTCGGGCAGCGGCGGGTGCAGCGACGAGGTGTCGAAGTTGAGAGGCGAGTCCTCCTCGAGCGCGTCAATGTTGATGGTGCGCCAGGCGTCGCTGAGCGAGGCGGAGGTGTGCTGCTGCACGATCGACATTGTTTCTTCGGCGTGCGTATGTGCTGTGTGTGGCGTTGGTTCTCCGTCTAACCCCCACAAGCAAATGAAGAGGTCTCGCGAGTAGTGATGTGTGCTATGCTGCCCACGGGGGATAGGGTGATTCGAGGTTTCGTCGTTGATTGCGGAGCTTTGAGGTTGGCAGAGGGCAAATGGTGGGGGAGGTGTTGCGACAGCAATTGAGGCTGACGTCCGTCTAGGGTGGGGCACAGCCCAAGGTGGAGATCCATGTTTAGGTAGGTAGCAGGAACGATACTCGAACATGAACACTACAGGCAATTGTTGGGCAAGCATCAAAGAGCTGTAAGGATCACGTACAATTGCTGCAAAAAAGATGCGGGTATCAACTTACACAACTTCCGTTGAAGGTCAGTGATTACTTGATTACTTGGACTCGTCATCAAATTTGTGTAATTCTATTCGCCAGTACCACCAAGCCGGCTTATCCAACGTGCCCATGTGATAGGTATTGTGAAGTCCATTGTACACATCTTGTAGTTCTTTTACTTTTACTTGTGATCGAGAAATAATCTACTCCTCAGTTTACGATTCCGACAAGGCAAGCAAAATGGCGATATCAAATCAGTTTCTTGAAGTGAACTATGCCTCTGCCCAATCGATTTGGCGTCCTTTGCTAGAACCCATGGCTTCGATAAGCTCCGTGAAGGCCAGACAGCAAGCGGCTTGCGGCGAAGATTCTCAGTAGAGCATGCCCAGACGGCTGCAGATATTGAACAAGTTTCCCCATAAACCTCTCCACCTTTGGCGACAACGATCTTCGGATCCGATATGCACGAGTGTCTGAACATCGGACGAACACCTCGTCTTGGAATTCCTGGAGCATGACACCTATTTGTGACGAGCGGTCGCGTTTGATCTCCGATTGGGAAGCAAAGTACATGATTGTACCCACCGCACAGGCATAGATGCATATCGATTACTCTCTCATCTATCTTCCTTGACTTTTGGGCTGTCAAAGACCAAGGAACTCAAACGCAACAGTCAGACATGCACGCAAAGACGCAGCGCCGTTGAATAGACAGGCCCCGATGGATCTTTTGGCAAGCGTGCTCTCAGAATCGTGACGGCTCGTGGCCGAATGGGACAAGCGCCTCATTCATCGAGTATGAACGACTGTTCACCGGTCAGACGCTTACCATGGAACAGCACTGGCCGTGCGCTCATCGTTCCATACGCGGCATATCGAGAGTCGTAGTAAGGTCTACCGCCATGACCTTTCCAAGGTAGGAGCCAACTCCGACTGTTGCCAGCGAGACATGAGCACGGACCTAGACGTTGACCACATGGCATCGGGGAATTTGTCTGCATGAACCTGTAGGTATCAACGGAAATTTCTTGCTCCACAACTAACCTGCATGACCCAAGTTTGGCGCCTTGAACTTCAGACGGCCACCCTTGGGGCTACCCTCGCCTGCGAAACCAGATGTCGAGACAGTTTGCTCACAGCCTCGAAGCTGTGTGTCATGCTTTAGCATTCTTCACCCCCCCAGTCGGAATTGTGTTGAGTCGTTAACCGCTTTACTCCCCTGGTCCATTCTCACAGAATTTTCGGTCCCTGAGGTGGTTAGTACAGTCGCGAGGGCCTGGTGTTCTGTCAAAGCGCGGCACGCTTCCCTGTGGACCTTGTCGCTGTTCTGCCGGTAAATCTGCACCGGTTGACTAGGGTGTCTTGTCATCAAAGTCGCACTGTTGGCAAACAGAGGAGGTCAGTGTGAAAAATTCTGTCCCTAGGAAATTGCCTGTTGCATATGGTAATGTGAGGGTACCTGCTAATGACACGGAAATTCAAGCCTGTGACTTCCGTAGCTTCGGTAGGCCAGCCTCCGCTCGGCTCATTTGCACGGCCTTGTTGAGTCCCTACCGTTTGCTTACAACAATGGTCCTCGCTTGAGGGTGTGGTGAACAATTGCGAGCTTGAGATTCGAGGTTATAGCAATGCTGATGCTGCTTGGCACCAGACTGGCCAATGCCCTTCAGAACGAGCTCAATCATGGTCGTTCGATCAAGTACCTCGGGATCCGGCTGAGAGTGGACGGGAAATTGGCCGACAAGCTTCAGGGTTCTTCTCAAAGAATACTTTGGTCAACTACTGTAGTCATCCGTTATTGGCTTGTGTGCAAGCATAGCCGAAACGTTGAACGTTTTTGGACCCCAGGCCGGCGCTTTGCCCGAAGAGGTTACCCCTTGATGTGTTTTAAGATGTCCTCGATACGAAGCCTTGACTGTTCATTTTTGGACGTGTTCCGAACTGGAAGCCTTGTTTCATTGATCACGTTGCTCGTGGCTCTGTCGGGCGCTTCGCCGCGCTGCTTCTAGTCCTTTGGCATGCATGGTTGCTATTGACTTGATAGAAACTGTTGCGACCAGGGGCCTGTGAAGAACGTGGCGTCTTTTCGGAACACTTTCAGCTCATCCTGGTGGGTTTGTCCAGCTCCACTGGGTATCGCCTTGTTTGAAGCGGTCCCGGCCTGTGTTGGCAGACCAGGTGGCTGGACAACTGTGGATTGCCTCTGATGACATGTGGTTGTGAAACTCCCGGCAGATCGGTTCGCTCCCGGCCAGAAGAAGACATTGTCAGGCGACAGGGCGAAGGCTTTGGGGCATGACAGAGCCCTTGTGGGCTTCGTTGAGCACTCCTGACAGGCGGCCCCCGTCATTGCTTGGGTCGCCATCTGACAGTGGAGATATCCTGAAAATCAGTCGTGTGGAGGAGGCTAAACGGCCCGTCTTCTGGAGCCGCGGTCGCTGCTAACGCTTGCGGCACGCATCCTATTTGCTGTCGCCCTGTCGACTTTCGTGTCGAGGCGCAAGACAAGGGCTGGAAATGAGGCAATCGATGATGAGCAGAGCTCATCTTGCCGCGGAGGTTGGGATGCGTTGGTGCCGTGGCTTGGCCTGTACGTACAAGTACAGCGCGGCAAAGGGCTTGAGGTGGCAGTAGAGTTCATCACATGATTTTTCAGCTATGCAATAACAGGTCGATGGCTTGTCTCGACAAGATGTTGAAATCGATGCCCTCGGCATGTGACTGGTGCGTTGCCGATGAATAGGAATCGTTCCTCACCCGCCGGGCCAGCAAAGCGCCACCAGGCAGGTGTTGATATCACAGCCACAAATCATCACGGGAGCACGGCGTGTCCATAGCTTGACAACCTGGCTCGCCTCCTCGCCTCCTCGCCTCCCCATGCTCTCGATAGATGGTGAACGCTGCACTGGTTGCGCGCACACACAAGATGAAACAGGGGTATCGGGTGTTGCAGAGACAAACAGTGAGCAAGATTGGGGACACTGAGCCAATCCTTATGCGAGTGAATACTCCTGCGCCTCTCTTGGTGCCCATTGAAGGAAGCCAAAACCAATCGCGTCCTAATATAGTCAATACCGACGTTTGTCGTGCGCCGGTTGGCCAGATGTGGTCATCGCAAAAATTCGTGTTCTGAGGGAGATTGATTTCTGGCTAATGCAGGAACGCGCCTGCGCCAGCTCTTTCCTAGTCTGGGTTTTTTTCCACAGGTACGTCACGGCCGCCCTTTTAGGCTGCATTTGCCATGTGAGGTCCCTGCCAAAACCTGCAAGGTACGGGTTGGTACCGCCCTTGGCTGGAAGGTACCCGCTACCTCGGAGAGCCTGAGCATCCTTTACGGCAGGGAGGTCGCCAGTCCTACGCCCATGCAGGAGCGCTGTGCGCCCTGGGAGAAGAGAAGAGAAGCAAAAGTCAATGATCAAACATGGAGACTGTCACACCTGGGGTTCGGGTCTCGACAGAAATAGACACGTCAGAGGATGGCGCAGGCGGTTTCGATGAACGATAATGTGCGATGGATGGCTTTGCTTTTGCAAACAAGAGCTGAGCCCGGGTACGACGGAGCAAGCAGCACACGCTTCACGCTTCACGAGCCAGGAGGCCCAGTCGCCGGTGCTGCATCCTATTCAGCCAAGGAAGGCCGAGGCGAAGGTACGGCCATATCTGAAACGAGCTCTCGAGTCTCCCCGGCGGAAACCTGCTTCTTGGATCGAGAGCAATATCACTACGTCAGCTCCTGCTCACTGTTGTACATCGCACAAATAATTGGTCTGGTGCGCGCACCGTACGACATCAGGCGCCCGAGGGCGGCCCTGCCATGCGACGGGGACGCAACCACACGACTGGAACGATGAATGGGGTTACCTAGCCTTGCAGGGTGGAGGCCCGACAGCCCAGGTTGCCATTGCGATGGGTAGCCACAAAGCCATGGTGTTTCAACTGGGCTAGAATGGCAACCGACGTTGTAGACAAGGCTGGAAACTTGTCTCCTTGCTGCGCGCGCGGCTTCCTTGACGTCTGCAGGCCTGGCAGCTGCAGGGCCATGCTCTATGCAGCATCCATCTGGGTTGCTTGATGGGCCGCCCCATGCTGGGAGCCTGGCTACTGTGGCGGTGGAGCAAACAAAAGATGCCCTGACCGGCCCCTCTCTCCGTCGAGTACCACAGGACCAGGGGCTTGAGGTTGGCCGGGGGCAGCGAGATTCGCACCCACCAAGGGGGATCGCCTTCTAGAAATCTTCCAGTGCATGAAAAGGGGGCATGGTAGGACGAATTTGGGGCGACGCAGAGTCGGCCATACCCATTACCCACAGGTTATGAAAGTACCGACTAGGGCAAAGTATGGAGTACCTCGCTCAATACTTGTACAAGTACTTCCGGCCCAGCAAAATACCCAACGCAAATTTAGGGTCACTCGTCTACCCCAGCTAAACGGTCCGTCTAGAGGACCCTGATATTTCAAGAGTGGATGTGGGCTTCCTGAGACACGCATTTTCGAGAATCCGGGGTTGGACAGAAGGAAGCGAGACCAAACATTATTTGCAATGTTTGCCAGGACATCCATCCAGGCTTGTTTACCAATCTTCCGGTCCAGGAAGAAGTATTACAAGAATCTCAATCTGATACGAGAGATCCGGAAACTTCGTCCACCTGGTGGT